CGCGCCGATCGATTTGCTCGCCAAAGTACCAGATCGCCCACCCCACACAGTCACGAAATCTACACTGTTTCTTCTATTCGCGAAGCGAAACCAAAACCCATGAAAATGAATGGTTGGGGTTGTTGTGCGAATAGGTGGCTGGTTTCCGTGTTTTGGCGAATTTTGTTGACGAGACAAGCATTTCCAGGGCTGTACACTGATATCGGGGATCAGACCCTGCAAATCTGGTACATGCTTTTAGCGGGTTAAAAATCGGATCTGAAGTTCAGTTTTGAATATCGACATCGATTTCGGAAAAAAAAAGTTGAAATCGAAAAAGAAAAATGCGATCTTGCAGAACGGACGCGATGTACCGTGTCCTAAACAGTTCTATGGTCCCTTGAAACAATCCGATCCGACCCTTGGGATGATGGGTTCTGGTCTGGCCTCCGTCTCAGGCGTGTTAGTGTTAGACGCGCTAAGGGGGTGCCATTCGATCACCTATTGGCAGTGAAACACCTCAATGCATTTGATTTTCTCGCACAACGTGCAATGGCAAAGTTGGTTTTTATTACCTTATGGAACCCTGCACTAATGCAAATGCAATGCATATGTCGGCTCTACTCTCGCCAAATTCAATGCAATGATGACAATGGCAACTTCCTATTTATACTGCTCTGAAGTGGTGGCTCAAGTGAGTGCATTGTGAACTCGTTCCAGCAGCCGTAACACGGCCTGCAAGGGCACCGGCGCGTCACCCTCTTCTAGGGGGTCAATGCAGGATCGCAGCGCCTGCAGGGACCATGGCCCACCCATCCCACTCATCAAACCGGCAGCCTCCCTCTCACGTCCTAATTGAGGGCTTCGCACATCAAGATTCATGTTGCCATCAGCGTCAGCATCGGCATCAGCATCAGCATCAGCGTCAATGCCAGTCTCAGCAGCATCAGCAATATCAAGGGAGCGGTATGCCGGCCCCTCCTCTCCCGCATTCTGCCGTCCTCCATCCCTCCATGCTCCTGCAGCATTAGACAAACCAGCAGAAGCCAGAGCAAGTGATAAGTACAAGTTTGCAGCAGTTGCGAGGGATGAGAGGCAGGAACAATCAAGGACAAGTCCAGTACCGGCTTCCTGATCCAGGCCAGCAGCGCTCCTGCCATCACCAACAGTAGCACCTCCAGCACCAATTGCTGCAGCAGTGGCTTTAGCTGCGTCAGCTGCTGCATCAGCAGCACCTCGGCCTGCTCCCCCCCATGGTCTCTCCCGAGGGCCTTCCAGCAGGTCCAACAGCGCAGACGTCCGCCATTCCCCAGTGCCCTCCCCACCGCTGCTGCCGCTGCCACTGCCACTACCACTGCCACTGCCGCTGCCATTGCTGCTGCTGCCGCTGCCCCCAGCAGCAGCATGGGCCATCCTGGTGTCTTTCCTCCTCCTGCTGCTGCCTAGAATGGCAGCGGAGGTTGGAAGGGACGCGGAGTAGGAGGGACCAAGGAGAGAGGAGGCGGCATCTGCTGAGGCGCCTGTGAGCACATGGTGCTGCTGGCGGGGCGAGAGCTGCAGGAACTGTGAGAGCATGTCACCGTCTAGCACACGCAACACGTGCGGCTGAGGGGGGCGCGCGGGGGGAGGGGGGGGGGGGGGATAGGGGGAGGGCGGTGATGGGCGGAGAAAGGAGAGAGGAGAGGAGGATCGGGGTGAGTCTGAGAAAGACACATGATTGGCACGCAATAAAAACAAGAACAGTACCTTTATCCTCCCAATTTATGCACTCTGGTAATGTAGGAGCACAAAATTAATGATGCCCGAATCAGAGTTACGCCCTTGGCTTTGCCCTTGGTTTGGTCAGCGCAGCCTCACAGGGAGGCTGAGGCGCGTGTGTCTCACCGGAGCCCCTTTGGATCGGAACTGTGCATGGCTGTTGCCGAGGAGCGGTGCTGTGAGTGGGTGCTCTGCCAGGCGCCGCTCTATCAGTGACAGCAGCGCGTAGTCCGCTCTGCGGGGGGGGGAGGGGAGGAAAGGGGGGACAGGAGGGAGCGGGGGGGGGAAGAAATGCAGGTATGGGGGTGCAGAGATGGGTGGAGAAAAGACGGACACACTCCATGGGCACCATACGCACAGTCCAACCCGGGATGGTGGTGGGGGCATGATTGTGCAAGCGTGCATGTGATTTTGAAAGTGCAGGTGCCGTGGGCACCTGGAGAGTTGCAGCAGGGTGACAACGGATCCCAGAAGAGTGGAGAGCACGAGAGACGAAGCACCCATGGACGAGTCACCGCCACTCCTGACACCATCCCTCCCTCTCTCTGCCCCCATCGCCTTCCCACCACCCATGCTCCCTCCTCCCTCTCCCGCCGCCCCCCCCTCTCCTCCCTCTCCTGCCTCGTCCCCGTCCCCCTCCTGCTCCTGTCGCTGCGGCTGCTGCAGCTGCAGGTGCTGCTGTTGCTTTGAGAGGTGGCGGTCGGTTGAGGCGAGCGGAGTGCGGTATGCCAGGGAGCCCTGAAGCACCAGGAACCAATATAGTTACAAAAAGGGGGGAACGAAGAGGAATCAGCGTAGTGGTGGGTTGAGGTGGCCGGACACTTAATTCCCTCAGGTTGTTGGAGCGCCACAAGAGAAACCAGCAAGCGAACCAATCAATCGAAGGAGAATGCATGTCTTGTTCTGTTCTGTGCATGCCGTGGCACAGAAAAAGGAAGCAAACAAGGCCGATGCACATCATGTAACATCTCACATCCTCTCCCCCCAACCCCCCCAACCCCCCCCAACCCCCCCTCAAAACCCCCCTTCAAACCCCCCCTCCCCCCACCTTCTTGATGCCTTGCACCCCTTCCCCCAGGTAGAACCACGCCCTCTCCTGCAGGTTGTGCTCCGGGCTGTTTCCTGCGCACGCTGCATGCAGGCCTGGGGGCCAATGCAGGTGCCCACGGGCAGGGTGTGGGGGGGGGGAGAGATGCACGGATGGTGCGAGAGGTGAGCGATCCGGGTTGCTGCATTGAGGTACCAGGGAGAATGCAGATGCTGGGATGTGCTTTCTTTTGCAGGAGCAAGTGCGTGGATGCATTCGTGTCTCTAGCAAAAACGGGTTCAAAGCCTCCATTTTCTCTCTTGCTATTCCTGGGTGGGAGACGGCGCATGGCATGGCAGCACATGCAGGATGAAGCAGAGAGGTGGTAAAATCGAGGAGGCAAAGGGTGAAGATTGAGAAGACAGATAGCGCACGATGGATGTGGAGAGAAAGGGAGAGGGGCTATTTGAGAGGCCTCAAGAACAGGAGATGGAGGGACAGACCAAGGTCAGCTGCAGAGGGCGGAGGGGGCGAGGAGAGGAGGCAGAGGGCGCCGCGTCGGTCGCAGGCGAGGGCAGCGGCGGGGTGCGAGGAGAGCAGCAGGCACGTGGACGACAGGCGCCGCGACGGGTCCGCATGCACCAGCTCAAACCGTGCCGCCGCCTGTATGCCGTGGGAGGGGCGGGGGCACACATATGGGGGGCACACACAGGGGGCACATACAGGGGGCACACACAGGGGGTACACACAGGGTGCACACACAGGGGGCACATACGGTACGGAGGGCACACACAGGGTGCACACACAGGGGGCACATACGGTACGGAGGGCACACACAGGGTGCACACACAGGGGGCACATACGGTACGGAGGGCACACACAGGGTGCACACACAGGGGGCACATACGGTACGGAGGGCACACACAGGGTGCACACACAGGGGGCACATACGGTACGGAGGGCACACACAGGGTGCACACACAGGGGGCACATACGGTACGGAGGGCACACACAGGGTGCACACACAGGGGGCACATACGGTACGGAGGGCACACACAGGGTGCACACACAGGGGGCACATACGGTACGGAGGGCACACACAGGGTGCACACACAGGGGGCACATACGGTACGGAGGGCACACACAGGGTGCACACACAGGGGGCACATACGGTACGGAGGGCACACACAGGGTGCACACACAGGGGGCACATACGGTACGGAGGGCACACACAGGGTGCACACACAGGGGGCACATACGGTACGGAGGGCACACACAGGGTGCACACACAGGGGGCACATACGGTACGGAGGGCACACACAGGGTGCACACACAGGGGGCACATACGGTACGGAGGGCACACACAGGGTGCACACACAGGGGGCACATACGGTACGGAGGGCACACACAGGGTGCACACACAGGGGGCACATACGGTACGGAGGGCACACACAGGGTGCACACACAGGGGGCACATACGGTACGGAGGGCACACACAGGGTGCACACACAGGGGGCACATACGGTACGGAGGGCACACACAGGGTGCACACACAGGGGGCACATACGGTACGGAGGGCACACACAGGGTGCACACACAGGGGGCACATACGGTACGGAGGGCACACACAGGGTGCACACACAGGGGGCACATACGGTACGGAGGGCACACACAGGGTGCACACACAGGGGGCACATACGGTACGGAGGGCACACACAGGGTGCACACACAGGGGGCACATACGGTACGGAGGGCACACACAGGGTGCACACACAGGGGGCACATACGGTACGGAGGGCACACACAGGGTGCACACACAGGGGGCACATACGGGGGGCACATACGGGGGGCCAGAGAAAGTGAAAGTGTTTGCAAAATGTGGGTGGTGCAACGTTTGGTAGCGTGTTTGTTGTATTGTGAGTGTGGGTTTGAGTTGGCGAGACGCACCGGGGATGCATTGCGAGGAAAGGGCGCACCAGGACAAGGGACAAGGAACGCAGAAAAGGGGCAGAGGGGCGCGACACGGGACTGATGTAAAGCGTGGCGGAACAAGAGGGTAGGCAGTAGGCAGTAGGCAGTAGGCAGTAAGCAGTAGGCAGTAGGCAGTAGGCAGTAGGCAGTAGGCAGTAGGCAGTAGGCAGTAGGCAGTAGGCAGTAGGCAGTAGGCAGTAGGCAGTAGGCAGTAGGGAGTAGGCAGTAGACAGTAGGCAGTAAGCAGTAGGCAGTAGGCAGTAGGCAGTAGGCAGTAGGCACCTCATGGAAGGCGTAGAGCAGCGCGCCATCCCTCGAGTCAGCCACCAGAACGCAAGGGGAGGATGAGGCCGAGGACGGAGAGGCAGATACAGCGGACGCAGAGGAGGAGGAGGAGGAGGAGGGGAGGGGGGTGGAGGGTGGGAGAGGGGAGTGCGGGGATGGTTGGACGGAGAGGGAGCGGATGGCGTGGCGGGTTCTGACTGTCGCCACTCGCCGCAGGTACACCCGGGGGGAGAAGGCGAAGCAGAGAAGCTGGTGGTGGCGGGGGGGAGGGAACAGAGAGGGCAGAACAGTCGGGTTAAGGGGAGGGGCAAGAGGGGGAGGGCAGGGGGAAAGAATTGTGTGGGGGGGGGGGGGGTGGGTTTCAGTGGTGGAAATGGGATGGTGAAGGGTTTGTTGGGTTGCTGAGACACAAAAGGCAGAGGGCTTCTCCGCTATATCGAGTACGTACCATGTTTCCAGCAGCAACCAGCAGGTACTTGTGCAGGAAGGGCACGATGGCACACACCGGCCCGGGCATGGGCACAGACCGCACCAGAACCACCTGCCATCCCCCCACCGCCACCGCTGCTGCTGACTCTGCTGCTGACGTATCTGCTGCTGCCTGGCCTCTCTCTCCATCGTCCCCACCACTGCCCCCAGCAGGATCAAACCCGTTGCCAACTGCCAGCCGCCCTTCTTTCCCCCCACTCCCCCCCCTTGCCCCCACCTCACTCTTTTCCCTGTCCCCTGCCACCCCTCTCCCCCTCTCACCCCCCCCCTCCACACTCTCCCCCCTCCCTCCCTCCTCCCCTGTCTCTCTCTCCCCACTTGAACCACCTCCCCCTGCCGCTCGCCCCCCCCCACCACCATCCCTGTCGTCCGTGCTTGCTCCCGCCCTTGTCCCCACAGAAGCACCCGCCCTTCCCTCTCTCTCACCCACCACACCACCACTCCCTTCCGGCCCTTCTTGGCCCCCCAACTCGTCTCCACCCCTCCTCCCCCCTCCACTGCTACTGCCCACCTCTCCTAACCCTACTCTCCCTGCTGCACCTCCGGCTCCCCCAGCACCCCCTGCTCCCCCGCCCTCCCCCCCTCCCCGTCTCTCAGCAGCAGCCACCGCCCGTCTCATCCGCTCCAGCACCCCACTCAGGCCCACAAGCCTCTCTGCCGCCCCTGCCTCCTCTCCTCCCCTCCCTCCCCTGCCAGCGGCAGGAGCTGCTGCTGCTGCTGCTGCTGCCGCTGCTGCACCGAGTTGGGATGCTGCTGTGGCTGCTGCTGAGCCAACCAGTTGGGCGGGAGAGAGGGGCGTGGAGAGAGGAGGGAGGGGAGGGAGGGAGCGGTAGGAGGGGCGGGAAGGAGGGGTTCTGGAGGAGGGCTGGGGAGACGGCTGGAGGCGCAGCATGTAGAGAGTGCCCCTGGAGGGAGGGAGCGGGGAGGGGCGAGGGGGGGGGTGTGGGGGAATGGGGTGTTGGGGTTAGAAGAGGGGGGAGAAGGGGGAGGCATGAGCGGAAGGGATGAGAAGGGACGGATGGAGAGATATGGGCACGCGATGGGATGGAGGGAAAGAGGAGACAGAGGAGACAGAGGAGACAGAATGAAAGGCTTCAGCAAGAATAGGCAGCGAGAGAGGGCGGGTGAGAACATTCTCGAGCAGCATTGTACTAGCATTGCTAATAGCGAAGCACTGCGACGCACTGCGACGGATTTCGAAGCATGAGCAGCAACAACATACCCAGTATCAGACCCTTCCGTCTCCTCTGTTCCCAGCATCACAAACTCATGCCTGCTCCCATGCTCCCTCCGCCTCTGCTTTCCCTGCTGTTCCTCCCCAAACGCCACTGCTTTCCCTTTCCCCTTCCCCCCCTCTCTCCCCCCCGCCCTCCCGCCCTCCTCCTCGTCCTCCTCATCACCAGCACCCATTCCCATCCCCCTTCTCCCCACTTCCCGTTGCCCCCCACCCTCCCCCCCTGCCTGCTGCCCCGTGTGGTGCTGCAGGGCGGCCGTGGAAGAGAGAGAGATGCGAGAGGGGGTGTGCGCCTGGGGGAGCGGGGCGAGAGGGGAAGGCTCCTGCTGCTGGGAGTGGGAGGAGGAGGGCGCGTGGTGGAGCGGGGGAGGGGCGTCAGAGGTCAGTTGTGGCGTGGATGGTGGTGGGCTCTGTATGGGCGTCAAGAGCTGCTGCCCCTGCTGCTGCCCCTGCTGCGGCTGCTGCTGCTGAGCAGTGATTTCTGCTGTCAGGTCTCCGTCCTCATCCCCCATCTCTTCCTCTACCACCACCAACTCCTGCACCCGAACCTCCTCCTCCCCCTCTCCCTCTTCCTCCCCTCCTCCCTGCCACTGCCCCTCACCATTCCTACCATCCTCCCCCTCTCGCTCCTCAAACTCCACCTCCTCTCCGCCTCCCTCTCCTTCCTCCCCCCCACTTCCTTCCTCCATCCGCTCTCTCTCCCGCCCCACCCTCTCTCTCTCCCCCCCCATCCGCCTTCCCTCCTTCGCCGACCGCCTCCTCACCTCAGCCAACCGCTCTCTGCACTCCGCTCCCCCCACCCCCCGCACTCTATCCGTCCGTTTCAACTCCGGAGCCCCCTCCTCCTTCCCCTTCCCCTTCCCCCGCTCCGCCCCACTCTTCCCCCCGGCCTTCCTGCCCCGCGCTCTCGGCCTCTGCGGTTGCCAGAGAGCGAGTGAGCGCGTGCGCGAGGATGCCGGAAGGTCAAAGGTAGAAAGGACGGACCCTGAGGAAGGGTCCAGGCACCGGAGGTCAGGCCGGGAGGGAACCAAGGGGGGAGTAGGCGGAGGGGACGGCTGGTTGAGGAATGAGGAGAGGGAGGGGAGGGGGTGGGGGGGCGGGGCAGCACAGGCGACGAGGAGGGTGCGGGAGGAGGGGTGGAGGAGGAGGCGTTGGGGCGTGGCGTGCAGCGGCATGTGCTGCATGTCCAGGCGACGGGCTCGGGCTAACTCCACCTGACGCACACACATGGGATGGGGATGCAGGGAGGTGAAGAGAGAGAGGGTAAGAGAAGCATGGGGGAGCGAGTATGAGGAAGCAAAGCGTGTGTGCGTGAGCAGACGGGATGACAGGGCTTGATGGAAGGAGAGGAGCAGACACGGCGAGCTAAATAATTCGATAGCAAATGACAGCCCGGGCAGCATGACATGGCTACACAAGAGAGCAACCAGCATTCCTACCACAGCACCACCCTGGGTGGGGTGCCCAGTACCCGGTACCCAGCACCCAACTGCCCCGCCACCCCCCCCCGCCCCTCTCACTCACGATGTGCAGCGACCTGTCAGCCACGAAGATGATCCCGCTGTGGCTAAACCAGAGAGCAACCAGCATCTCTAACCTGCCCCACTCTCAACCACCACTCCTACTCCCCCCCCACCCCCCAAACCCCCCTTCCCCCCCTCTCACTCACAATGTGCAGCGACCTGTCGGCCACGAAGATGATCCCGCTGGTGCAGCCCGCGCAGGAGAGCGGCGCGGCGTGCGTGCACGCTGGGAAGGAGATGGATGCGCACAGCGGCCGCATGCTGTGCGACGAGTGCACCAGCAGCCACGGTCGCTCGCTCATCGCCACCACGTCGCACTGCAGCGACGCCTGCAGCGGCACCAGCACCACGGGGGACAGCCCCAGCCGCCGGTCGGCCACCAGCTCCAGCTGCACGGCACGTGGCGGGGTGAGGGTGGCGGATGAGGGCGGGCGAGCGGAGGGGTTGAGAGAGGAGGACGGCAGGTGGGAGGGGGTTGTGGAGGGGTGAATGGCCCGCTGTGCGAGCCCACGCGACGGCTCTTTCATGTACCCGTGTTGCTCCTGTGCTGCCTGTATCCCCTGCATCGGCTGTAAGCCCTGCGAGTGTAACCCCTGTGGTTGCAGCCCCTGGGGTTGTAGCCCCTGCGGCTGCTGCCCCTGCGGCCACGCGAAGCGGACGAGCGTCCCGTTGCGGAGCCCCACAGCCACGTACGCCTGGTCGAAGAGCAGCAGGCATGTGCTCTCCGGCACGCTCCCGCCCATGCTGCTGCCGCGCGCCGCCGCGGGGAGAGGGAGCGAGCGCAGGGGCGCGAGGGCTACGAGGCGGAAGAGGTGCGCGGGGTCGAGAGAGACGACACGGACGGACGGCTCGTATGTGCCCAGCAGGGCCACGCGGCCAACGAGAGATACGCCTGCTGCTGCTGCTGCTGCTGCTGCTGGGACTCCTGCTCCTGCTGCTGTAGCTGCTCTTGTTGGTTCACTGAACCACGTTGCTCCCTTTGCCTGTTGCTGTTCGTGCCGCTGCTCGAGCCCCTGATCAAGACCGAGTGCGTGTGGCAGAGGAGGGAAGGTGTCGTCTGGAATGTGGATGCAGGAGAGCTCGTACTGCAGGGAGTACCGAGACACCTCCACCAGGCACACACGAGGGTGCAGAGAGGTGCGCCCAGCATCACTGGGTGATGCCCCCACAGGGGGATTATGGGGTGACGGGTGGTGAGGGGTTGATGCGTGTTGGTGTGGTGATGGGGGGAGCAGGGAGCAGGTGAGCATAACGAGCACCGGGGGGTTGCATGTGAGTGCCACTAGCACCACCCCGCTGGACACTGCTGCCACGGCTATGGGTTGCCTGCTGCTGCTGCTGCTGCTGCTGCTGCCACCACTGCTGCTGGCAGTGGCACAAGAGGAGGTTGTGAGGGAGGGTGGCAGCCAAACTCGCCCATCTGGTGACACCCCACCGGCACTCATCCCACCACCAGCACCACCACATGCACCATCTGCTGCAGCATCCATCCCCTCACCCCCCTCTCGTCCCTCCTCCCCCTTGCTCCCCCCCATGAGTGCGTGCGGCACGCGGCACAGGCGCACCTGGCCAGGTGTGACCTGCACCAGGTAGCCGTCCAGGATGCGGCCTGCCGCGAGCGTGGGCGAGGAGAGGGCCAGAGGCACCGCGTCCGACACGTCCCTGAAACGGCTGCCCACGGCCAGCACACGTGTCTGGGAGACAAACGACATGACAAAGAGCGAGTGTTGCTCGTCCCCAGCCCGCACGCGCACCGTCCACGTGCCCGTGACCCCGTGGTACTCAGGTGCGGTCGACAGCAGCCGCTCCACGCTCACCCCATTGCGCACCACACACACCGCGCCCCCCAGCCCCTCCCCGCACGCCGCCACCACCTGATCCTGCTGCTGCCCGCCCAGGTCCGCTAGAGTGAAGTCAGTGAGCGGGGCTATGCCGGGGATAGGGGAGTGCGGGGTGAGTGACATAGGGGGAGATGGGAGTGGGTAGGATGACGGGAGAGGATTGGGATAGAGGGATGGAGCGGGAGTGTGATGCTTGGTGCCGGGTTTGCTGAGTGCTGCTGCATCCCTGTCGCACTCCATCAACACCCATCTGCCCGAGGCTCCCTCCTTGCCCTCCTTCTGCCCATCAGCCCCACCAGCAGCAGCAGTAGGGTCGCGTGTGCGTGCGTCCTTTTCCACCACCTGTCGATCAAGTCCCATCCCACTCACCTCTCCTCTCTCATCCCTACCACCAGCCCCCTCCTCCCTCTCCTCTTCTCCCTCCAAACCCCCAACAATTCCACCGTTCGCTCGTCCCCTCCCCACTTCACACGCCTCCCCCTGCACCTCATCCCCCCTGCTCTCCCCCCCCACCTGGAACACACACCCTGACCCGGCAGCAGCAGCCGCCACAACCGTGTGCCGCCCCGCCCATGCCACAGCGCCCACTGCCACCCCGCTCGCTAGCACCGGCGACAGCCACACCTGCACTCGCATTTCCTCTCCCACCACCCCTCTGTCTCTGCCCTCTCTCCTCCCTCCTCGGTCACTCACACCTCCGCGCCCCGCTCCTTGCTCTCCCTCCGCTTCCGCCTCCTCCTGCCCCTCGCTCTCCCTCCTCTCCTCCGCTTCCTGGGGCGCGCACTGGGGGGACATGGGCGAGCAGGGGGACGGGGGGGAGGCGCGAGACGTGGGGGGGATGGCGGACGTGTGGAGGGGGCTACGGGGAGAGGAGGAGACGGGAGAGGTGGGGGCGAATGCGGAGGCGGAGGAGAAGAAGGGGGTGTGTTGCTGCAGGGAGAGCACGCGGAGGGTGCCTTGGTCCGTGCACAGCAGGAGACGCTCCTCCCTCACCACACACCCGCCACCTGAACTTTCCCTCTCCTCCCTCCTGGGCTGCTTCCACCGCCGCTGCTCTTGACGCGTCTGCTCCTGCTCCTGCTCCTGCTCCTGCTCCTGCTCCTCCTCCAACGTCTGCCCATCCAGTTTTCCGTGTGCATGCTCCTTACCCCCCTGGTCCTCGCACCCCTCGCCCCCCTGCACCCCCTCGCCCCCCGCGCTCTCCCTCATCACCACGTCCCCCTCCCCCCACACACTTTCTGCCCCTGCCCCATCACCGCCGCACCACACATTACTGCCTCTGCCAACCTTTGCTGTTGCCTTCCCTCTATTCCCATGCCCATGCCCATGCGCCATGGTACACCATCTCTCACGCGCCGTTTGCACCTCCCAGCTCCAGCTGCTGATCAGCGGGCCATCCTCCCCTCCCCCTGCCTCCTCCAACAACCGCAATCCCAGGGGGTCCTCCTCGTCCTCTTCCTCCTCCTCCTCCTCCTCCACCTCCTCCTCGCCCTCCTGCTGCTGCTCCTCCTCCTCTCCCCATTCTCTCTCCCCCTCAAACTCTTCCTCTGGCTCTTCCTCTTCCCCCCCCTCGCTCTCTCCCCTCTCGTCCCCCATCGCCACCTCCTCACGTCCCTCGGACTGCTCGTCCTCTGTGCCGCCCTCCCCCTCCCCCACTTCCTCCCCTCCCCCACTTCCTCCCCCTCCACCACTTCCTCCCCCTCCCCCACTTCCCCCCCCTCCCCCACTCCCTCACCCTCCCCCATTTCCTCCCCCTCCACTCCCCCATCGCCCTCTCTCTCCTCTCCTTCACACACAACTCCGTCTCCTCCCTCTCCCTCCCCACCTGCGCCACCCGTCCCCTCCCCCCTCTTCCCCCCATCCTCTCCCACTCCCTGCATCCGTCCCCCCCCGCACCCCTCTCCCCCTTCCACCCCACCATAACCCCCACTATCACCACCACCATCCCACATATCCTCCCTCCACACCACCAACCTCCCTATCCCCGCGTCCCCCTCCACAAACCTCTCCACCCCGCTCGTAATCGCCCCTCCTTCCCTCCCAGTCAACCCCCCTCAACCCCCCCCAGTCTCCCGCCTCCCCCCTTCGCATCCCCTCCCCTTGCATTCCCCCCCCTCGCCCCACCAAAAACGCCCTCCCCGCTCCCCCACCCGCTACTTCCCCCACCGCCAACACCCCAGCTACTGCCTCCCCAGTTAACGCCTCCCCTAGCTGCCCCTTTCCTAGGTGCTCCTCGTTCACAAGAGACTCCCCGTGCGTGAGAGCAAGCCTGAGCGCATGGTGGGCGAGGAGAGCGAAGGGGGAGGGGGAGGGCGAGGCGGAAGGGGACAACGAAGAGTGCACAGACTGGGGGGCAGGTGGGTGAAGGGATGGTTGAGCGGGGTCGCAGCGACGGGATGAAGTGACGGCTGCAGGCAACCCCTCACGTGTGCTACTACCATCCTGCTCATCTGCATGTACTTCCTCCGCCTCCGCATCACCTCTCCGCATCACCTCCCCTCTTACCCTGCCCTCCTCCTCTGCCTCCTCTGCCTCCTCTGCCTCCTCTGCCTCCTCTGCCTCCTCTGCCTCCTCTGCCTCCTCTGCCTCCTCTGCCTCCTCTTCTAACCGCTTCCCACCACCCTCCCTCTCCTCTGCTTCAACCACTAGCACCTCTCTCCCTGCCAGTCGAATGGCCTCATTCTCTGAAGCACCCTGGACTGTACCACCACTCATGCTGCTGCTGCTGCTGCTGCTGCTGCTGCAGGCAGCAGCGGTCATGCATTCAATGCTGCAGTCGACGGTACCTTCCACGCTCCTCGTTGACTGCTGCTCCCTGTATCCGCCCCTCTGCCCTGCGCCTTCCCACGCCCTTCCTCCCCCCAACCTCCCAGACTCACCACTCATCCCTCGCCCTCCGCCCCTGTCCCCTCCACTCCCCTCTTCTCCCTCGCTACCCGCTGCCTCCTTCCCACCACTTCCTCCACTCCCCCCTCCTCCCCCTTCTCCTCCCCCTCCTCCTCCCCTCCTCCTCCTCCCCCTCCTCCTCCCTCCCCTCCACGCCCCCGTCCTCTCCTCCTCTCCCTTCCCCTCTGCCAGCCCCCAACCCTCTCCCCCTCATTCCTCACATCTCTCCGCAGACCCACCACCCCTTCCACCACCATGCTCACCCCCTCTCCCCCCTCCCCCCTTCTCACCCCAATAACCACCACGCTCCCCTCGCGCAGCAGTAGGAGCATGTTGGGCGTGCGGGGGGGCGTGACGAGGTGCATGGGGCAGGGGCGCGCAGGTATGGGGAGAGAGGCGGTGCAGCGGAGAGAGCCGAGAGCGGGGTCGCAGCAGAGGAGAACAAGCTCGAAGGAGGAGGAGCCCTTACTGGGAGAGGGACGGGGGATGGAGAGTCGAGGTGGGTGGAGTCAGGGGTTTTTCGGGATTTGGGTTTCGGGGTTATGTGGGGTATGATGGGGGATGAGAGAGGGAGAGAGAGAGAGAGATGAGATAGATAAGGGTAGGAGTGCGGACATAAGGAGCACAAGCAAGGGATGCCCAGTTTGCGACGGGGCTGATGGAATCCACACAGGCGGTGCCTGATGAGCACCGAAGCAGAGCAGAGAGCAGAGAGCAGAGAGCAGAGAGCAGAGAGCAGAGGGCAGAGAGCGCAGAGCAGAGAGCGCAGAGCAGAGAGCAGAGAGCAGAGAGCAGAGAGCAGAGAGCAGAGAGCAGAGAGCAGAGAACAGAGAGCAGAGAGCAGAGAGCGTAGAGCAGAGAACAGAGAGCAGAGAGCGCAGAGCAGAGAGCAGAGAGCAGAGAGCAGAGCGCAGAGAGCAGAGAGCAGAGAGCAGAGAGCAGAGAGCAGAGAGCAGAGAGCAGAGAGCAGAGAGCAGAGAGCGCAGAGCAGAGAGCAGAGAGCGCAGAGCAGAGAGCAGAGAACGCAGAGCAGAGAGCAGAGAGCAGAGAGCGCAGAGCAGAGAGCAGAGAGCAGAGAGCGCAGAGCAGAGAGCAGAGAGCAGAGAGCAGAGAGCAGAGAGTGCAGAGCACAGAGCAGAGAGCAGAGAGCAGAGAGCAGAGAGCGCAAAGCAGAGAGCAGAGAGCGCAGAGCAGAGAGCACAGAGCAGAGAACAGAGAGCGCAGAGCAGAGAGCAGAGAGCAGAGAGCAGAGAGCAGAGAGCAGAGAGCACCTGGGCTTTCTAGAGGACGCACCTATGCGAAAGCACTGCAAGGTACAAGGGACTGAACCCTTCGCCTCCCCCCACCAGCTGCTGCTGCTGCTGCTGCTGCTGCGACGGTCCTAGAGCAGCAAAGACAGCAGGACTGCCGTCCCCTGCCGCTGCTGCCGCTGCTGCATTGATGGCAGACGCACAGGGAGAGATGGTGGTGGCCGCTGGCGGGGGGAGGTACAGCAGCGGCGGAGCTGCCGCAGAGGGGAGTGACGAGGGGACATGGAACGCAGGAGAGACGGCCGAAGGAGATGCCGCTGGTGCTGCGCTGACAGCAGCAGCAGCAGCAGCAGCAGCAGCAGCAGCAGCAGCAGCAGCAGCAGCAGCAGCAGCAGCAGCAGCAGATGGAGCAGCAGGAAAGCTGGCAGTAGCCCCAGCACCTGCTGCTGCTGGAGCAGCAGCAGCAGGACGATTGGATGTGGTGCAGAGTGGTGCGGAGACAAAGGCGATGCTCCAGATGGTGCCGGGGGCAATGGGGGGAGGCTGGGTGCGGAGGAGATGAGAGAAGGGAGAGGAGGAGGTGTGTGGTGGTGCTTGCGCGTGTGTGAAAGGGGGTGCTGATGCCATGGCGGCAGGTGAGGAAGGTAGGGAGGACGAGGTGGTGGTGGGAGAGGGGAAGACAATGGGCTGCATGGACAATATTGGGGGGGGGGGGGGGGGGGGAGGGGGGGGGGACAAAAGAACCATGAAAACGTGATAAAGATTGCGATATCAGTCGGAGTTGAGAGAAAAGGTAAGATGGGAGGCTCGAATGGGGTGGACCAACATAAGGACGAGCAGGAAAGGAGATGCAGGCTGGGAAGCCAGAGGAGCAGCAAGGCGGGGCGGGGGGTGCGGTGCAGCATTGCATTAGGAGGCCAGTAAAAAAAAGGGGAAGTGTCGCAGACAACTACAGTACCCCAGTAACGCCTCTGAGGGAAGCACAGGCACACTTACTAGCAGCCTCTGGACTGCCCCGGCTACTGGCCCTAGGCCCCTCCCACCTTGGCAACTAGTCGGTCGCACGTGGGCGAGTGCAGCACTGGCAGCACTGCCACTCGCCCCTCCATCGCAGCCACTGCCACCGCCCTGCCCCTGCACACACGGCCACACAGACGGGAGGGGGTAGGGGGGGAGGAGAGAGTGACAAGGCATGGGAACGAGAGGATATCGGGCTGGAACAATGGGTTGGGGGGGTGAGACCTGGGGGGGTGAGACCTGGGGGGATGAGACCTGGGGGGGTGAGGCCTGGGGGGGTGAGGCCTGGGGGGGTGAGGCCTGGGGGGTGAGGCCTGGGGTGGGGGAGAGGTGGGGGGGGAAAGAGTCATACATGAAGAGATGGGGCAAAACGGCAGATACGGCGAGTAATAAGGGCAGAGATACAATCGACACATATAAACAATTGGTGGCACAGGCGGACCCTGGCTTCTTACAAGGGGTGCACTGCCAGCAACCGACCAAGCTCCCTGGGCGCAAAGGACTGCAGAGACCGCGGCCTCTCAGAAAGCGCCACGTGTCGCAGGGCGACGAATCTGGAGCATCCAGCAGGGGAAGAAAAGGAGGAAGGAGAAGCATCAAGGAAGAGGGCGGTTGGCAATGCTGCAGGCAGCAAGGACCAGCCATGCCAGCCGCACTGCCACGCCGAAACAACGTGCTTCTAAGCAAAGGGTACAACCAAACTACCCTCCCCAGCAGCGGCAGCTGCTATCTCGCTGCTACCCCCTAATCGGCGCCCACTCTGATCTAAAGCAACCGTGCCGACAGCATGCACTTGCTGCTCTTCAGCCACGTCCTCCGGCTCATCGCTCCCCCCCTCCCCCCCCCCCCATCCCGGTGATTCCCCTGGGTGGTGCCCCCTGGTGGTGTCCCTGGCGGCCGTGCAGCACCTGTTGAGGTCGGCATCGAAAGCGAGGATAGACAGCTTGCCCGAGTCCGACAGCACCGCCAGGAGATCCCTGCCCGCATACTGCCCAACGTGGTCGGGGGACAGGGGGGGGTGGTTGGGGGGGGGGGGAGGCGGAGCGAGCACGAGGGGAGAGACAGCAGGAGAGAAGGGAGTGACGGAGAAGCAGGGGGGTGGGAGGAGAGTACTGGCGAGGAAAGGCAGAGGCGGGATAAGCAGAGGGATGTTACGACAATGGTAGAGGCCCAATTTCCCTCCCATATCCTCCCTCCCTCCCCTCCCCTTCGTGACAAGCACCCCCCACTCAGCCTACCCCTGTCCGCCTCAGCGCCTCCCCGCTTCCCGTGGTTTGAGGCGCCTCAAAACTTGTGGTTTACCTTATCGCCCGGACCGTTTCCCCCTGCCCCCCCCGCTGCCCCTCCTCTCAAATGCGCCAGCGACCCCCCTCCCCCCGGGGCCATCCCCCCCAGCGGGCGGGACGGGGAGAGGGCGCGGAACGGCGGAAGGTATGGCGACAGGGACACGGGGAGCGGAAGGGACGCGAGGGGGGGAGTGGGCGGGGGGGCGGCGGCGGCAGCGTGCGGGTGGTGGGACGGCGGAGGCGAGGGGAGGAGGCGGGGGTTGGGGGGGAGGGCTTGCAGGGCGATGATGGTGCCGAAGACGGGCTGCTCGCACACGGACGACAGCGAGCCGTCCGGCAGCACCTCCAACAGCTCCACGCACGACTCCTGCTCGTTGGCGCCGGGGGGGGGGTGTTGGGGTGGGGGGGGGGAGGGGGAAAGAAGGGGAGAAGCGGGGGGGAAGGGCGGGGAAAGAGGGGGTGGGGGAAGGGAGGATGCAGTGATGCGGAGACGGCGGTTGAAACACATCACGTCCAATAGCTCCGCGCAGGACGCATGCGGGTGTGTGCGCGCGGGGCGATGGGGGGAGACGGCGGGTGATGCACACGTGGCAGTCGCATGGCAGAGCGACGCAGAGCAGAGGGGACCGGCCGCATCGTAAACCCTAATTGCTTTGGAAGCGACGGGGAACAGAGGTGAGCTCGACAAACTTACCGGAGGTAACGGAGGGTGATATCTCATCTATCTTCCCCTCAGCAAGACTCCTACTGACCTAACCACCTACCTTCCCAAACACGACATCGTACGACGATGCTGCGAGGAACCTTCCCGCCACAGCCTGCAGCACTGCGCTGCTTCGTAGCGCCGTCTTCGCGAGGAACAGAAGCGGCGGCGGCGGCGGCGGCGGAACCGCCGCGGACGACGGCGGAGGCTCGGGCTCCGGCACGGCCATGGCAAGATTAAGACACAACGAGTTAAAAGGCAAACCGCGTCAGAAGTCGGATTGACGACGCACGACGGGCTGAAAATGAAACCGACGGATACGCTGCTGCTGGCGGAACGCGAGATCAAAGGGGATGACGGCGAAAGGGACGAGCCTAATCGCCGTTCTGCTTCGAGCCGTGACACGATCGCGGGACACGCAACGGCCGAATTACACAGTACGACGGAGCAGGTAGGGCCCGTGCAGTGGATGGAACCCCGTTGCTGAATCCACGACTAATTAGCACGGCCTGTTCCACTCACTCCCACTGAACCCAACATAGCCCTCACCCTCGTTTGGCTGATGTTATCGTAGTAAAAGTCTCTGCTATGTTGGGCTCAGGAATCCAGACGGTGCTGCTGCTCTGCTTGTCCCTTACAGCTCAGTGCCGCCCGCTTCTAAGTTGCTGGACTAATCTTCCACCACACTAGATACCACTGTGTTGCAAACAACCACGGTTTAATGTAGCCAACCGAGGTAAACCGAAATCGAGCGACGATTTTTGTTCCTCGACCGCAAGTGTCATCCGTGCTTTTCATGATTAGCAACACATGCACGTCAGATGAGACCAGACCAGCAGCGCGAGGCGAAATCTGTTGCGGCGAATGAAGTTACACCATGGCGAACTAGCAAGAGCAAATAGCAGGGCGGGTTCCCCCCAGATCTGCCTCCAGCCCCGCCCGAAGCTCAACCGTGCTGAATATCCCCGGAGACCACAACGATTCGGAATAGAGATTGCACATGTACACTCGGTAAGATCACGCATGTGTTTTCTGTTCACATTTATTAGCACAATAATATTCTCGCCTGCGTACTCCATGACGGTCCTCTTTATCAGACAAAAACCGACTGTTTGTATATTTCAGGCCTATTTTCTTGACTTCTCCTGGTTTTTCAGAAACTCCAAATGTTTATTTGGTTTAGAAACCACTCTTGTAAGTTTCTGTTTTTCATAAAGCGTGTATACATCCTTTCTAAGATTATAGGGCTAGAGAATCACTATGTCTGAATGCTGTTTTTGTGGGCGCCCCCCCCCCCCCCCCCCCCCCCCCCCCCCCCTCCCCCTCTCTATCCCATTTCCCAAACATATTTGTATATGTTATTATATGGTAGATAGGTGCATGCTCTTAGAGGGTACCACTGTCGCTGAGACAGCCCCTTCTGCTAAGACCGTCGTGGCGGTCTTAGCGCAGCCGCGTCAAGGTAAGGGCCGCCGCCCCAAAGGGGGGTGTGGCGGGGGGAAGGGTGGCGGGGGTTGTGGTGGTGCCGGAGGTGACGGAGGTGGGGGCGGGGACGGTGGTGCAGATGAGGGGAACGTGGCTGATGTGTTGGAGTAGTAGCCGCCTCAGCAGCACCAGCAGCAGTCACAGCAGCAGCAGCTGCTGCCGTGGGAACCTCCGTCGCCGTAGTGGCTTGGCGGCGCTGGTGTTGGAGGTCGTGGTGGTGGGCCGCGCAACTTGGTGTCGCGTGGCGGCTCCAGTGTGGTCACCTGCCAGTACCAGCTTTAGTTTGGCCCCCGCCGCGACACCGTCTGTGACTGTCCCGGTCACACCGCCGCCCGCTGCTACCGCCGCCTTGACGACCTCTTTCGTCTCCGCTTCGGCCCCACGTCGGACCCCCCCAACTACTACAACTTGGTGCGTCACCGTGTACATGTCTTTGACATTGAGATGGATCAGATTAGGTCTGCCATGTATATCATGTATGAAAATGACTCTAGTGTGACCGGACCCTATTTCTCTGTGTTGCCTAGTATAAGGGTGTCCACAGTGTCCAGCCTAGGCTCCCCTGTTGCGTCAGACGTAGGACGACCCACTTTGTTTAGCTTCGGCTCCGCTCTAGCTCCTCCGCTTGCGGCCGCTGCCACCGCGCTCTCTTTCACGCTAGACTCTGGTGCGTCGGCCTGTTTCTTTCGCGATCATACTGCGCTCACACTGCCTGCCGCCCCTGCCGTTGTAGACCTTGCTTACCCCTCCTCAGGTCCAGTAGTTGCACATAGCTCAATTACCCTTCCCTGTCCGTCGGTTCCCTCGGGCTCTCTCAGAGGCTTGCACATCCCCTCATTCTCCAGGAACCTAGTTGGTGTCGGCTATCTTCAGGACCTCAGTGTCACCAGTACGTTTCCTGGGCACGAGCGTTACGCAGTCTATACTGAGGCCGCCACTTGTGCCCCTCTCACCATGTTCCCTCCGGACCCTGTGTCTTGCCTGTTCACCCTAGACACCGCGTCCCTCCCGGTGGGTGCGTCCCCCCGGGTCGCCGCGCCCTGCCAGGTTGCTGCGGCTTGCTGGTGTCGGTCGCTCACCCACCCGTCGCTGCTATGGCACCACCACCTAGGTCACCCCGCACTCCCACGTCTGCGTCACATGTCACAAGACGGTATTATCTTAGGTCTCCCCGCGTCGCTCCTATTTCCATTATCCTTTGGTTTATCCTATTATTATAATTATATCATCGACCAAACTCGGGATGTACTGGCGTGCTATATCTAACGTAATCCTGCCGTAATCCCTTCAAGCCAATAGCCTCACGTAATTATACGCATGGTGATTCTATTTCTGCAAAAGCCCCAAAATCCCCATCCGGATGCATCCAGATCATCAACTTTAGCATTAACGACGCACACTGTCATCAAGGAGACTCCGGGCCCTGGAGAAGAGCCTTTCTCCAAGCAGCCTCGGCCAGCTGCCAGCTCAGGAGTAGATAGTAACGAAAATGTGTGTACGGAATATTGGGATGTACCCTAAGATCCTGTTAACCAAACTATCTTTGGGTACTCCGAGCAACGCCTGCCCCTCGTGCTCGAGTTCATATGCAAATGACAACGCCTCCAAGCACTCATGGACAGCGGAGCGTCACACACCGTATGCGACAAGGCAGCCATCGGCCGACTTCGGGAAGAGTATAAGCCTTCAGCATTCTCTGCAACGATGGTGGACTGCAGCAAGTTACCCGTGTACGGCGAAATAGTGTTACACCTACAAATCGGTCCACTACGCTGGAAACTTGCACTCCCCATCACCAACCTAAAAAGGCTTGACTTGATCTTCGGGCGGGACTTCTTTAAGAAACTCAACTTGAGATCAACTGGGTAAACCGTACTGCAAGTATTTGCAACAACGGAAGGAGAGTCTAGCTATCAAACTGGGATGACACAGGAGATATCCCTATGGAGACACTCGCTTGGTTCGAGAAGGACGTGAAACGAACCGACACCGGGTTCCTGGCGATACAGATGTGGAAGATGATGGAGAGAAATCCTCGAGACCTCCAGAAAAAATCAAGGAATTACTGAAGGAGCTCCAAGACATTCTTCCCGATGACCTTCCAAACGAGCTACCGCCATACCGAACACACCAACACGAGATTGTGGAAGAACCAAGTTCGAAGCCGACCTTCTAAGCACCATATCAGCTCAACCCCACACAGCTAGCCAACATGAAGAAACAGATTGAGTATCTTCTCGCCAAAGGACTCATCCGACCATCCACTTCGCCATACAGTGCCCCAGTACTCTTCACACCGAAACCGGACGGAAGCATGCAGCGATTACCGAGCTTTCAACAAGCAAACCATCAAGAACAAATGCCCAATTCCACGTATCTCACTCAAGGTGCTCTTCCGTACGGAAGAGTGCAGCCTGCCAGATAGGCAATCTTATGCTAAATTGTGTTCGTTGACGTGTGTATGCATTCCCCTCTCCAGGCCAACCTGCGTGGTTGAAATACACTACAAGGATCACTTATTTCTCAACTGCTTGAAGAACATTCTGCGGTCTTCTGACTGTAGCGCGACCTACCCAAACCTCATTCGCATCTGGGTGGCTGTAGGGTTTCTTCCGCTCAGCACTGTCGAGTGTGAGCGCGACTTCAGTCGCCAGAACGTCATCATGTCATGGTTACGTGGCAACCTGTGTGGCGCTTGTGTCTTTGCGACCTCATGTGCATCTCGCTCCTGCAGCATGACGTGGTGTATGACAAAGTGCTGGATCTGTGGTGGAAGCCAAAGAAGCCAAAGAAGTGGTGGCTTGCGAGGGAGGTGCGTCTACCCTCACCCACTCCTAAGCGGTGAAAGGAGTCACTAGCAGCAGCATCAACGGCAGTGGCAGCAGCACCAGCAGAGGGGGGCACCGCGGGTGGAGCGAGCGGCGACAAATCTGAAGCCAAGACAGCATCAGAAGCACATATGATGTGTCGTGTAAAGAAGAAGGAAAAGAAGCCTAGGAAAAAGGGCCACATGAAGAGGAGCGAGGAGTTGATGTGCGTGGCTCTCTAGAAGTAGATTGTAGCGAGTTTGCATAGGATAGCGGCCAATGGCCCCAATCAAAATAATGTTACGTGACTGAAATCGGAAATTTATATATTGCACGTCCGATTGATCAGAAATCTCTATGAAATTTGACTAAGCTTTCAGACAAAACGGAAAGCTACTGTCTGATGGTCAGACGGGCCCGAAGGGTTTGTCTGAGCGTCAGACTAAGGCAAAAACCTAGGGAGGACCCTGTCCATGGTTGCGGTGCTTGAATGCACTTCAGTCCAGGGCCAGAGATTGGTTTTGGGGCACCCTTAGGAATCAGGGTATCATAAATATTTCACCCTGATTTGTAAGGGTACAAGGGGCAAATTTGGCCTCAAAACACTTTTATACCCTTACAAAATCAGGGTATAGTGCAAAAAGTGGCCGCTAGCAAGGGTAATTAGGGTGAAATACCCTTGAATCATTGGCCCTGCTTAAGTCAAAGCATCACCAACCAATCCAGCCCTCAGAAGGCACACTACATTCAACATTAGTTCAAACTCAATTGTGACACGACCTCAGAGGAGTGTGCAGTGCACTCGTCATTGCATTTCATAGCTCCATAATACAACACACTAGATAGGGCAAATACATGGCAAGGGAACAAAGGTGAGCTGACCATACTAGTCATCGAAGCGAGGGAGGGAAGGGTGGGCAAGTTGGAACAGAAAAATGCAAATGAGACTAGGTGGCAGGTCTGAAGGACATGCCGATAGATGAAGGAGTTTGTCTCCTTTACAGCAAACTCCTCTTCTAGTCGAATCACAATCTGTAATTTTTTTATTACAAAAAAAAACTCATATTGTGACACGACCTCAGAAGAGTGCAGTGCAGTCGTCATAGGTCAAACGAGACATCAAGTGGGAGGTCGTCGGCGGTGGCGCTCGAGGGTGGCCTCGTACCGATCGGTCACGCTATAACGAGTAGGATCTTGTAGCATGCGAGAAGCGGCCACTAGTTCACGGTCAAGCTGAATAATGTAAAGCTCCTTGGCTGTATCACTTCGCCAGCGGCCGAGGGCCTTGAAAAGCTGGTCCGGGACTCCAACATCAACGGCGACCGTCGCAGCCGCCTTGCAGAAAGAATGGATGCCTAGGAGGGTTGGGTTGAGACACGGGAGAAAGCATCACGACACCAACCCCGAATGGCGGCTTAAGAGGGAGGGCGATCTGAGGGGAAAGCTCGGACACCCGGCTGAAATATACGAATAAGGGCGCCAAGGGTCCGTGGAGATTTGCCAGCCAGGAAGAGGAATTGTTGGACACGCGACACCGGACAGTTGCGAGCAGAAGAAGCAGCCACTAGGACCCAAACACATGTGCCAGCTTCGTCGGTCTTCGAACGGGGGATGAAAAACCACATGCAGTCCCGATCGAACTCGATCTGGTGCCACTGGAGGGAGATGAGATCAGAGAAATGATAGAAGGCTGCGAACATGAGGAGGGGAATAAGGCCTCGCTCGAAAGTGGCCGGAAGATGCGACGAGAAGTAGATGTCACAGATATCGTAAATCTTGGCTGGAGGAATAGGCTCCTTGGCTTGAGACGGTTTGCCACAATGATGCATGTCATAATCCTTGGCTTGCGAAGAAAAGGGGCCGCGAATCAGGGAGGGGTGGCCGACCAGCCAATGGACGCAGGATATGGCAGAATATGCAGTGCGCACAGCTGAGACGGTAGCGCCGCGACGGACCAAGTGCAGCAGAAAGAGGGTCGCTTTCAGGTCGGTGGCGGGAAGGAAGGGAAGTGAGTGCGCCAAAGAGAAGGCTCGAAACTGTCGCCAATAGGGTTCGTAAGTGCGAAGGGTAGACTTTGCCCGAAGATTGACGGTGAGTGTGAGAAGGTGCGACAATAATTGACCAATATATGAGCTTGCGCAGTGAAATAAAATTATACATTAGTTGAATGCAAAATGAAGCGTATACATCGAGGAGTTCGGAAGACTGGCACCGCTAAAGGCATAACGGTCACCGCCAACGCGTAAACAACTAGCACCAAGGGTAAAGCGATTGGCCATAACGACCTCCAGGCCCCGAGTGAAGCCGTCCAAGCTTAGCAAAGGCCACCAAAAAGCACTGGGCCGATATGGGATCACAAGAGTGAGAGAAGTGCGCGAGCGACGGGCATGAGCGAGGACAGTCGAGATGAGGGCGGGTGGAGGAAAGGCGAAGCAATTCTCGTGTCCCCAATTAATAGAAAAGGCATCTTGCGCAACCGCAGAGTGTGAGAACTCGAGGGAGCAGAAACGAGCGAGCTGCGCATAGGCAGGGGATGCGAACAAGTCGATTTGATGAGGCCCCCAATGCCTCTCAAGCAGCAAGAACCAAGGTTGTGTCAAGGATTAGTCGTCGTGGAGCTCAATCTTGGACAGAGCATCGGCCTCGGTATTCAGCTCGCGGGGAATCCATTGGACCGTAAGACGGATCATATGGCGCACACACAATTGAATAATCGTGCGGCATACGAAGGTAAGCTTGGGATGACGAGAGCCTCCCTTATGGAAAATGTAGTAGGCCGCTTGTTTGTCGCCGCGGAGCAAGATGTGCAAACGCCGAATTTCGACAGAAAAGGCCGAAAGGGACCAAAAGATTCCGGCCAGCTCGCGAAGGGTACTGGACGAGCCCAAGAGGGCTAAAGGCAGCTGGGAGGAGAGCGAGCTGACACGACCATCCGGCGCCGAATAACAAGCCCCCCAGGCATGGTCGCTAGCATCCACATACATGACAACGTCGTACAAATGCGGGTTGTTGAAGCGAGCGCCGTTGACAACGTCGACTGTGTAAGCCAAAAACGCAGCTCTTCAAAAGACTCAGGGGTTAGGAGAATGGCCGCCCCCCATGAGTGGCATTCGGCAATCTGCACAAGAATCTGGTGGGAGAAGGCACGCGCGACAGTGCCAAGTGCCAAGGACATGGAGGCCAACATGCCGGTGATGCGGGCAGCGCGGCGAACAGGGATGTGATGCCCGTTAGCACTGAGTCCGCATAATTCATCCAGCTCGGCAAAGAGCCGGTTGCGCCGATCCGCATAAACAGAGAATGTGGTGGTGCGAGTGTCCAGCAAGAGGCCCAAGAACTTCAAAGATTGTGCTGGCGCGAGTTGTGATTTTTTTAAAATTCACAACAAGGCATGCGGCTGTGAGGTCGGCGATGATTATGGAGCAGTTGTAAAGTGCCTGATGTTTGAGTGACACTGATGAATAGGATATCATCGATTTATGGAATAAGGTGGATGCCACGGCTACACCATTGTTTGGAGAGTTGCTTGATTAACTGGGTAAACACAAATGGCGCTGTAGCCAGCCCGAAAGGCAAGGAGAGGAATTGGTAGTCCTGCCCTTGCACCATCGTTTGGAGAGTTGCTTGATTAACTGGGTAAACACAAATGGAGAGAATCCGAGAAACCGCCAAAAGGCGGGGTGAATGTCGACGTGGTGGTATCCGGGTTTGAGATCGATTGTGAATAGCCAATAGCCTTCTTGCACCAAATCAGGAACGCAAGTAAGTCCTTCGTATCGAAAACGAGGTACCGAGAGGAACGGGTTGACATGCCGCAAGTATCAGCCTCTTTTTAGAGGGTTGGACAATAACGTTTAACGGGCTAACGCATGTAAGGGTTGCGGAAGGAGGTACGACCCGAGCAGGGCAGGTGGCGAGAAGCTCGACCACTGCATTTACTGTGAAAGATATGAATTGCAAGGCACCGGCATGATTCTTAGTACGAGACGGAGGCGGCTCAGAGGCAACCCATGGTAGGCGATAGCCAGATGTAATCACCGATAGAATCAAGTGGCTGTCGCATCAGGCGGATCATCATGCAGCGCGGTCACGGAGGCGGCCTTGCATGCGGGTAATCTTGGTTGCGTCATCGGCATAGGCCGAAATGGTTCCGAGCTCTGGTGGGAGAGGGAACACAAATAGGGACGGTAGAGAATAAGGAAGGTTCTTCACCACATTTAGTTCCGAGCTCAACAAGTGATTCTTTTTTTATTTTTATTTTTCCTCGGGAAGGAAGGCAAACGCTAATTATAGGTGCCCGCTCGCTCACTCTTCTTCGACCACGTCATCCCTTAAGTGATATACCATTGGGTTGGGCATGTCAACTTGGCATGCTGGGCTGTAGTTGGTGGTCATATATGATGATGACATAGAAATCTTGTCATGAGTCTTATCAACGTTAGTCTTCAAAGGACACACACACATTGTGTATGCGTCTTATGGGCACGTTCATGCTTTCTTGCACGGGCCCAACAGGCAAGACCATGTGGCCGTATGACGTGCGTGTTAATCTTGCTTGAATGCAAAAATGCTTCTTTATATTAAGAATGCTACAACATCAGAGAGCTTAAGCAATCTTTACACAATCTTAGCCGGCCGATTGGCCCCTTGGCCCCTTTGGGGGCAATTAGCCATCCAATGCCTGGGTTCACGGCAATAGAAACAACGGCCATCGCTGTCCCTACGCCAATGTGTTCCAAAGGCGCTCCCCTTGGCCTCGATGGCGAAGAGTGGGTTCCGGACAAGACGTGGAATGGGTGGGCCGAGTGGGCCTCTTCTTGCTGGCCGCTATAATCTGAGAAGCAGCCTTGACATTCTTATCCTCTACCACTTACCCGTACTTAATCCTAATTGCCATATTGGCCACCTCGAAACCGCGTTGATCGGCGGTAAACAGAGAATGAATATTTTCTTCCGCCTCCTCTACTATCTGCTGGAGATATTCAGCGGCTTGTTCACCACCATCAGGTGGTAAAACCGAGATAGCATGATGTGCAATAGCTTGAATGCGCTAAAAAATAAAAAGTTGCGTACGAATGCCATCGCTTTTAACTAAGGAAGAGCGCAACTGAGGACGTGCAGGTGGAATAGGAGCAAGTGTGAGCATTGCAGAAGCGGATTTCGGGCGGGCGGCATTACCTTCTTCGAGCGTGGCATGGGGTGCTTCCTCGTCCATTTCGTCGCCGATGAGCTCGAGGGCGGGTGCCGGGAGGCGAGAGCGTGGGGCCGCCGCTGCTGTGACGCGTGCTGTTTCCGGTGGCAGTGCGGGATCGGCGCCATTGCCACGCTGGAGCGCCGCGAGAAGACCAAGAACATGGTGAATGGCCTCATTGTTGGTGTCGGCGTTACCATTGTTGTCGGTGTAGCGAGCACAATTATGTTCTGCAGAATGAGGCACTGTGGATGCAGTGGAGCACGCTGTAGCGCGTTCACCAGCATCAGCTCCTGTGAAGATCTATTCGAGATTGCGCCGGGCTACAGGATCTAGGTGAGCAATCATTTCGGCGTTTTCTGCTGCTCCAGGGGTTGAGAGATCTGAGGATTTCCACGCGGATTCACTGTGGCAGGAGGAAAATCCGTGCGACGATCTTTGCGATCCTGGTCCCGATCCTGACGACCATGACGAATCTGGGGCGCTGGGGGCGTTGAGATCGCGCTCATGATGACGCCCTGCACGCGCAGGATCACGATCATAATTGTGGTCCTCGCGCGCAGGACCGTCATGATTGCATTCGGTAGGTGGAGGGCGTGACGGGGCGTTCTCGGCAGGCGGGTTCGTGTCGACACGGTTCTGCTCGTTATGCCGCTCGCCTTGAAATCCGGGAAGGGGGGGGGAATCGCGATTGCGTGACGTGTTACAATACGCATCCCTTACCGCGTTTTCAACATGCTGAACATGGTCTTGATGCGCGCCACTCAGCAAATCCAAAGTGGTAACGGCGCTGTTACCTCCGTCAGGACGAGGAGAACGAGATCGTTCTGTATGCTGAGAGGAAGAGTTTCGGTCCCCCTCACGTACAGGGTGTCAAAGATAACTTAGTTTGTTACTGTAGACTATACAGTTTTGTGTCTTAGAGGGTACAACACACTAGCCTATATTGCCTTGTACCCTCCTATTCTAGTCATTATTCCATTCTAACATGGTATCATGAGTAGGTTAGGTCCCTCTCGCCCACCAGCGCTTCCGCCCTACGTCCCCTAGCGGCCCCGCGGCCCCGTCCCCTAGCGACCACTCGGCCCCGTCGACCAGCGGCCCCACGGCCCCGTCCCCTAGCGGCCCCGCGGCCCCGTCCCGTAGCGGCCCCGCGGCCCCGTCGACCAGCGGTCCCACGGCCCTGTCCCCTAGCAGGCCTAGTGGCCCCGTCCCCTAGCGGCCCCGCGGCCCCTCTGCCCCGTCGACCAGCGGTCCCGCGGCCTCGTCCCCTAGCGGCCCCTCGGCCCCGTCGGCCAGCGGTCCCGCGGCCTCGTCCCCTAGAGGCCCTTCAGCCCCGTCGACCAGAGACCCCGCGGCCCCGTCCCCTAGCGGCCCCGCGGCCCCGTCCCCTAGCGGCCCCGCGGCCCTGTCCCCTAACGGGCCCGCGGCCCCGTCCCTCAGCGGCCCTGCGGCCCCGTCCCCTAGCAGCCCCTTGGCCCCGTTGACCAACGGCCCCGCGGCCCCGTCCCCTAGCGGCCCCGCGGCCCCGTCCCCTAGCGGCCCCTCGGCCCCGTCGACCAGCAGCCCCGGGGCCCCGTCGCCTAGCGGCCCCTCCGCCCCGTCGACCAGCGGCCTCGCGGCCCCGTCCCCTCGCGGCCCCTCCGCCCCGTCTCTGGCCCCGCGCTCGTCCGTTCGCCGGCCCGCGCCCTTCTTTGCGCCAGGCCCTGACGCCCGCCTGCACTGCCCTGCACCGCACTATACCGCACTGCACCCCTTTGCACCGCACTGTACCGCATTGCATCCTTTTGCACCGTACTGCACCGCATTACACCGCACCTGCCTCGCTCCTGATGGCGGACTCTGTGCTGCGATTTGACGCGGAGTGTCGGCCGATCGAGTTCGACACGTGGCTTGTCGACCTCCGCCGTCACCTCACAGGTCAGCGGCAGGTTGGCCACTCCTTGGTCGTCCACCTTGATGGTGCGCTCCCCTGTCCTGACCCCCCCGCTCCAGTGCCCGCTGACCCCACGTCTGCTGATCGAGAGTCTGCTGCTGCTGCTGCCCTTGCTCGCTCGGTCTAGTTGTTGCGTGACGCTGTTGCACAGCTTGCCATTAGTCATGCGCTTCCCGTGTCTGAGCGTCCCCGCTTTAGGTCTATCAGGACTGTACAGGAGTTCCTCGATGTTGTCATTACTCGCTATTCCACCGCGTCCTCTGCCTTCGTAGGCCGCCTGATCTTACCCCTGCTTTTCTCTGATCTCGCGTCTTCCCCCACTGTCGCTGACCTAGCCGCCCACTTGCGCACGCTAGACTCGACCTGGCGCTCGGCCTGCACTGAGGCCCAGCTACGTGTGTTTTAGCCCCCTCTCCCGCATGCCCTCTACCTACTTGCCACCCGCCTCCCTGACCACCTTGCCACTGCCCGCGATCACTTTCTTAGTGCCCTCCCCGCAGACCTCACCCTCACTGACTTTATTGACACCCTGTCTGCCATAGAGATCCGCCAGTGCTCCATCGCCCAGTCCAGCGGTACGGTGCCGGTCTCTATCTTTCAGGGTTGTGCGCCTGCCCAGTGCACTTTCTCTGACGGCTCTGCTGCAGTGGCTGAGTCTGCCGCTGCAGTACAGGCCCGTCCTGGAAAGGGCCGCCGCCCCAAGGCTGGGCGTGGTGGGGGGGGTGGTTGGGGTGGAGGAGGTGGTGGAGCCGGGTCGCCCGCTGGGGGTGCTGACGAGGGCCCTGGGCCTAGCACCGCTGAGCAGCAGCAGGTTCCCTCGCTCGACTAGCAGCCGCCATAGCAGCAGCCGCAGCAGCAGCAGCCGCAGCAGCAGCAGCAGCAGCAGCAGCAGCAGCAGCAGCAGCAGCAGTAGCAGCAGCAGCAGCAGCAGTAGCAGCAGCAGCAGCAGCAGCAGCAGCAGTAGCAGCAGCAGCAGCAGTAGCAGCATCAGCAGCAGCAGCAGCAACAGCAACCGCTGAGGCGGGTTGGTCGTCTCCCGCCTGGGTGGCCCGGCGTTGGAGGTGGTGGCGGTCGCGGTGGTCGTGCGCGCGGCGTGACGCTAGGTGGTGGTGCGGGCGACGGGCGCTGCCAGTATCAGCTCCAGACCGGTCCTCGTCGTGGCCTCGTGTGCAGTAAGACCGGTCACACCATCACTTGCTGTTTCAGTTGCCTTGACGACCTGTTTCGTCTTCGCTTCGGCTCGGCACCCAACCTCCCCGACTGGCTCAGCTTACTTCGTAGGGGTGTTCAAGTCTTTGATATGGACATGGATGAGATTAGCTCAGTGCTGTATGTTCTGTATGTCGATGACTCTAGTGTGATTGGTTCCGCTTACCTCGTGTTGCCTTGTGTAGGAGTGCCAAGCTTAGACTCCCCTGTTGCGTCAGGCGTAGGATCTCTTGATCTGTTTAGTCTAGGCTCCTCCGTCGCTTCCTCGACCCCTCCCGCCTCTGCTGCGCTTTCCTTCACCCTGGACTCCGGTGCTTCCCGGTGCTTCTTCTGGGACTGCACAACTCTCATGCCGCTTGCCGCTCCCGCCGCAGTTTTCCTGGCTGACCCTTCCTCAGGCCCTGTCGTAGCTCATAGCTCCACTACCCTTCCCTACAGGACCTTGGCGTCACCACTACGTTCCCTGGTCATGAGCGGTACGCTGTCTGTACCGAGGCCGCCACTGGTGCTCCCCTCACCACGTTTCCCTGGGACCCGGTGTCCGGCCTGTTCACGCTGGCCACCGCGCCCCCCCCTGTTGGGGCGTCTCCCCAGGTGCCCGTGTCTCCTCAGGTAGCTGCGGCTTTCTCGTGTCGGTCCCTTACTCAACTGACACTCCTGTGGCACCACCGTCTAGGTCACCCTGCCCTCCCTCGTCTTCGTCACATGTCGCAACACGGTCTTGTCTTAGGTCTTCACCTTGTGCTGGGTCGTTCCCCGAGCTCCCCTCCTCACCCGCGCCACCGTGCACCCCCTACGTCGAGGGCCGGCTCCGCCGTGACCCTCGCTCCTCCTCGTTCCCCCCCACCACCGCACCGCTGCAGACCTTGCACATGGACGTTTGGGGCCCTGCCCCCGTCCATGGGCCGCGTCGTGAGCGTTACTTCCTCGTCCTTGTTGACGACTACACTCGTTACACCACCGTGTTTCCCTTGGGGCGGAAGGCCGACGTGCCTGACATTCTTATCCCGTTACTGGTCTCTGCACGTGTGCACTGCAGTCTCCCTGTGTTGCGTCTCCACTCTGACCGCGGTGGCGAGTTTGCCTCAGGTTGCCTCGGTCATTTCTGTCGTGCGGAGGGCATCACCCAGACGTTCACCTTGCCAGACTCCCCGCAGCAGAATGGGGTTGTTGAGCGACGCATCGGTTCGGTCATGGAGGTGGCTCGTACCTCCATAATCCATGCCGGTGCACCCCATTTTTTGTGGCCGTTCGTCGTTCGCTACGCTGCTCACCAGCTTAACCTGTGGCCGCACCCTCAGCGGCCGCAGGTTTTGCTGACCCTCCAGAGGTGACGCGTCGGCGTTCCACGTCTGGGGCTGCCTTGCTCACGTTCGTGCCTCTGGCACGGACAAGCTCACTGCCCGCACACTCCCTTGTGTCTTCCTAGGTTTCCCCCTGGACTCGTCTGACTGGCACTTCTACCACCCCCCGTCCCACCGTTTCTTTCACTCTCGCGACGTCACTTTTGACGAGTCCATCTCCTTCTACCACCGCTTTCCCCACCGTGGTCCCCTGGTTACCCCCCCCCCCCCCCCCCCCCCGTGTTCCTGGTCCCTCCTCCCCCGGTTGCCCCTGCCCCCCCTCCTCCCTGCCCTGCCCCTTCTGGTGTGTCTCACGTTACCCCCCTCCCGTCGGTTGTCTCGGTTGAGGAGTCTGCTGACTCTGGTGGCCCTTCATCGCAGCTGCAGTCGTTGCCGTCGCCGCTGTCGCAGCCGCCACCGTTGTCGCCGCCACGGCAACAGTTCGTTCCTTCTGGGGGTGCTTGCGTTGAGGAGGGTGCTAATCCTAGGGCTCCTAACGTGGCTTGTCCCGGCGGGCCTGGGGGTGGTCCCGGTGCAGAGCGAGCTTCTGGTTCTGGGGGTGTTTCGACTGGGGTTGCCGGAGTGGAGTGTTCCAGAGGTAGCCGTGGAGCAGCTGGCGGTCCAGGTGTTGGCGTCCTGCAGCCGTCGCAAGAGCAGTCGCCGCCAGTGTCCGCCCTTCGCCTGCTCGGCCTTCCCTCCCTTGACCGCGCGTCTCCCCCTCTTCTACCGTCTCCTCCTCTACCTGTTTTCGGCCCTGTGTTCCCTCCTCCGGACTCGTCTCCAGCTCGCTTTCCCCCTCCTTCCCCTCCTGTTACTCCTCCTCTGTCTCCTGACTCGACGCCTCCGTCTCACGTCTGGTTTCGCCGTCCCTCTCGGGCTCGTCCTCTCTCCTGTTCCTTGTTTTCACCCTATGTTGCTTCGTTCCCACATGTCTCGTCCTCCCCTCCAGCCGTCGCCTCCTCCGTCCTCCCTTGTCGTCGCGCCTCCGCCTCTGTCTGACTACCTTCGAGCCGCTCGTCCTCTTGTTCCTCGGGTCCTTGCCTCCCTCGTTACCGACCCGTCTGTTCCCATTGAGCGTCTTGACGCTCTTGTGGCTGCTGTCGCTGACTTCGCCTCTACCCGCCACCTTGACTATGCCACCGCTCTGGTCTCCGACCCTGCCTGTCCTCCATCCATTTAGGGTGCTCTTGCCCTCGGCAATGACATCTTGGACGACCGGCAGTACGAGCTTGCTTTCCTTTCTGAGGCTGCTCCCCATCTCTGCTCCATGCTGCTAGTCCCTGAGGGTGACCTAGATGTCTTTCGACATCCGACCCCTCTCACCTACGCTAAGGCCACCTCGGGACCCTGAGCCTCTCAGTGGATAGCTGCCATGGAGCAGGAGATGGCATCTTGTAGATCCACCAGCACCTACGTCGACGCAGTTCCCCCACCTGGGGTGACGTAGTCGATGGCCACTGGCTCTTCAAGGTGAAGCGCCCCCCTGGAGAGCCGCATGTCTTGAAGGCGCGCTACGTGGCTAGAGGCTTCAGCCAGCGTGAGGGGATGGACTTCTTTCAGACCTTCGCACCGACCCCGAAAATGACTACTCTTCGGGCACTGCTACACGTAGCAGCACAGCACGACTACGAGCTTCACTCCCTCGACTTCTCCACAGCTTTTCTTCAGGGCAGCCTACACGAGCAGATCTACTTGCACCGCCCAAAGGGCTTTACTGGTACCTTCCCCTTAGGGACCCTGTGGCTCCTACGGCTCCCAGTCTACGGCCTGCGATAGGCGCCCTGTGAGTGGCACGACACGATGCGTGCTACTCTAGCTGATCTGCAGTTCTTTCCGTCCTCTGCCGACCCCTCGCTCTTCGTTCGTGCTGGCCACACTCCGTTCTACATCCTTGTTTACGTAGACGACCTAGTTTTTGCTACTGCAGACAGGGACGCGCTGGCCTTCGTGAAGGCAGAGCTATTGAAGAGACACACGTGCACTGACCTAGGAGAACTGCGCCACTACCTTGGCCTGCAGATCTCCAGGGACAGAGCAGCGCGCACTATCACTCTCTCACAGTCACACTTGGTGTGCCAGGTCCTTCAGCGGTTCGGTCTTTAGTTTTCTTCTGCACAGCCCACACCTCTGCCGGTGGACCACAGACTCTCAGCTCCTGTTCATGAGGAGTCAACAGAGCCCAGTGGTCCGTACGCGGAGCTGGTGGGTTGCCTCATGTACTTGATGATTTTCACTCGCCCAGATCCCGCATACCCTCACAGCATCCAAGCTCGCTTTGTGGCCACAGGCAGACACCGACCACAGCACTGGTCTGCCGCTAAGAGGGTTTTGCGTTATCTTGCAAATACATCGGGCATGGGGTTAGTGCTGGGAGGTCGCAGGCCAGTGGTCCTTCCTGGGCTCACAGACGCTTCTTGGGCAGACGACGCAGAGAATCTCAGGTCCTCTCAGGGCTATTGATTTAGCTTTGGTTCAGGTGCTGTTTCTTTGGGAGCTACCCGCTCCTCGTCTGTTGCCCAGTCCAGCTGCGAGGCTGAGATCTACGCTGGTGCCATAGTGGCACAGGAGCTCCGCTGGTTGACCTTCTTGCTCACCGACTTAGGTGAGTGGCCTAGCTCTGCCCCGGTCCTGTACACTGACAACAATGCCATGATCCTCCTGTGTCAGGAGCCTCGACTTGAGGGCAGAGCCTCGACTTGAGGACTCGACCCCGGTCTTGTTCCTGTAGCCTCTCATTTGCTAGGGCCTTGATTGTGTACAGACCTTTATATGTATATTACCCAGACTGGTCTTGTGGCTTCTCCCAGTGGCTGGACTAGTAGTGCCGCCCTGTTCTTGCTCTTGTCTTGTCTGTACTCCTTTTGACTGGTCTTTAGACCCTTGCCTCAGAGGCTGGACTAATAGTGCCGCCCTGAGCTGCTTGTTCTCTTGTTAGGCACTGCCCCTATATAGTCTAGGGGGTGTGTCAAACATAACTTAGTTTGTTACTGTAGACTATACAGGTTTGTATCTTAGAGGGTACAACACACTAGCCTATATTGCCTTGTACCCTCTAGTCATTATTCCATTCTAACACAGGGGACCCACGCCTTCCACCACTCCTAGTATTCATACGAGGAGCGGGAGGCCTACCACTCGCAGAGGAAATCAGTACGCTGACCATTGTAGAATATCTAACAGAAAGAACGGCTTGCAACAAGAGACTCCTAAGCCCAGATACGGGCATAAGAGGGGTTTAGCTTAGAGTGTGCTGGTGGTATACAAGTTGGAGCAGAAAAATGCAAATGAGACTAGGTGGCAGGTCTGAAGGACCTGCCAATAGATGAGAGAGTGTCTCCTTTACAGCAAACTCCTCTTCTAGTCGAATCACAGTCTGTAAAAAAAAATATTACAAAAAAGTTCTCAATACTTCTCGCCTTTGAAGACTAACCTTCCTGCCTTCGCATACAATAACCAGCAACCCGTTTCCTCTCCTCATGTTAAACCACTCCTCCCCATCTCCTCCACCACCTCCAATCGACTCCTTTCCCCAGGCCCTAAAGCTGCTTCCCCCTGCCCCACACCCCGATCCCCTCCCATCCTCGCCCTCTTGCTTGCCCGCCTCACCTCCTCCTCCTCCGCCACCTCAGCAGCTGACTTGGCTACCTCGTCACCGTCCTCCTCCTCCTCATTCCCCGCACCCTCCTCCCACGCCTCGTCGTACCGCTCCCCCCGCTTCTCACACAGGTTGTGCAGCACGCAGCATGCCCCCACAATCTCCGGTAACTCCTCCACCTTGGTCTCTGCACGCTTGCTCAACAGCTTCCACCTGCTCCGCAGCCGGCGCACTGCATCCCGTGCCACAGTCACAGCTCGTTCAACACCCTGGTTGAATAGCAGCTGATCTCCTGGCAGCATGCTCTCCCTCCCCAGCCTCTCTAGAATAGTCCGCCCTTTTGCACCACTGCCCCTGCCGCCACTGCCACCACTGCCACCCTTGTCAACGCCATCGTCTCCACCCAGACCACCTTCCCCACCCCTGCCTCTGCCTCCCCCCGTGCTCCCGCCCACAGGTTCATACCCACTCGCACCCTCTCCCTCTGCTGCCACCGCGCCCACTCGCTCCATCTCCACCCTCCTCTCCCTCTCCGCCTTCCACCAGCTCTGGCTCTCCTCGCGAATCACCCTTCTCGCATGCAGGGGAGGGCGCCCGCGCTTCCGCGGCCTCGCCTCTGCTACTCGTCCGCGCCCCGCGTCCTCTCGCATGGTGTCCAGCGTGTGCTGCAGCTGCTGCATGTCGTCGGGGATGGGCATGCTGCCCTTGCGCCGCACCAGCAGATCCGTGGGCAGGTTCGCTAGGGTTACAGCGGAGTGCGGCGATGCCACGGCGGCAGCGCGCGCGGTGCTTTGGCTGTGGGCAGCCAGCGCAGCAACCTGGTTCGCAGCATTCTCTGCACCGTTTGCACTTCTGGCAGCGGCGGCTGCTGCTGCTGCTGCTGCTGCTGCTGCTGCTGCTGCTGCTGCTGCTGCTGCTGCTGCTGCTGCTGCTGCAGAGACTCCTTGCCCTCGCCCCCGTCCCCTTCCTCTTCCCCTCCTCCCTCCTGACGCATTGGCTATAGCGGCGGCAGCGGCAGCAGCTGCTGCTGCTGATGGGGAGGATATCAGCGCGATCGCCGCTGCTGTTGCTGATGCTGGCGTCACTGCTGCTGCTGCATCCTCTGCGCCAGGCGGCCCTGGAAGGGCAGATTGTGTCGGTTGAGATGCAAGTGACGCCGTTCTCGCAGAAGCAGCAGGAGCAGCAGGAGTGGGCTTGTGGGTGTGAGCAATGCTGGAGAGGCCTCGGTCAGGGAAGGGGGTGAGGAGCCAGCGGAGCAGAGGGAAGGAGTACCAGCCCACAAGGAAGAAGCCCGGAGGTACGATGGCATCGCCACTGCTGCTGCTGCTGTTGCGTGCGCCGCTCCCTACCACCACATCCCCCTTCTGCCTCCCATCCTTGCTGCCTCCACTCCCGCCTGCTTTACCAATCGCCTCTTTCTCCAACTCCTCCTCCTCTCCCTCCTCCTCGCCTACTTTCTTCCCCCCCCTCTCTACCTCCTCCTTAACGTCCCCCTGCCTCTGCTTCTCCTCGCGACTCACCCTCTGGAACAGCTGCGACTGCAGCAGCACGTCGCCATCCTTCAGCGACCCCGGCCCAGCCGACACGTCCAGTATAAGCCCATCCGCCGCCACCGCCACCTGCACGGCCACGGAATACACCACCTTCTGCCGGCGCGCCGACAACCGCCGGTTCTCATACTCACGCAGGCTCTCGCCCGTCCTGGGCGTACTCATCACTATCTGCGTCGTGTGCAGCGCTGCTACACACCCCCCCGGCAGCCCACACGCCTCCTTGAACTTGGCTGCTGCTGCCGCGCGCTCGGTGGCAGTGGCAGGCATGTGGATGTGGGTGCGCAGGAGCGCCTGGCAGATCGTGGCGCACGTCTCATGGTGTATCCGCGAGCACATGGCGCCGCTCAGCCCGAATCTCCTGGAGACTAAGTAAAGGGGCTCTGCGGACACCAGGCGCCAGAGGCAGACAGCCAGGCGCATGCGGAGGGGGATTTTCGGGGCGGTGGGGGGCGGGCGGACGCCCTCTATGGGCAGCAGGCACGTGAAGAGGTGGTCGAAGGTGGTGGGGGACATGCGGAAGTGGCGGTGGAAGAGGTGCGCCGGGTACGAGGGGTCAAAGCACTCCTCGTACCACAGGCGCCGGTCCGGCACCGGTGGAGGGGGGGATGCGCGGGGCTTGCACGCGGGTGGGGGGTCCGACGAGGGGGAGAGGAGAGGAGAGTGCGGTGAGGTGGGGGGTAATGGAGAGTAGGTGAAAGGGGATGGGGGGAAGGGGGGAACCTGTGGGGGGAGGGCGCAGGGAAGGGATGGTGGAAGGGTGGCGGAACAAGGGGGATTTCGTAAGGGGTGCTGCGCTTGCCTGCAAAAGGAGGGCCGCCTTAGCATGGCACGTGGTGATTCTTTTCACTGGGGGCACAGCACTTGCCAAGAGACGACGATGGGAAACGAGCAAACACACGGCACACGGAAAAGTGAAGTATCCGGGAAGGCAGTAGGGGCGCTGAACGACAGGGCACGGGCTGGGGCGGGGTGGTTTTTGAGTCGACTCAAAAATCACCCACGGGCTGGGGCGGGGTGGTGCCGAGAAACACTAGATGCGTACCTGCTCAGTGCTGCTCCTGGCGGCGAGCCCCGGAGTGCATGTGCTTCTGGGCGTGGGCTTGGATGTGCGCGCAAGCATGGCCTTGTGCCTGATGGCTTGCAGCACGAGAGGCGACGAGGCGAAGGAGATTCTCGCTCCCTGTTGCAGCCACGCAGGCCCGGGAGAGACGGGGATGTGAGAGGGGTTAGAGGAGGGGGGGGGAAGGAGAAGGGGGGGGGGAAGGAGAAGGGGGCGGGGAAGGAGAAGGGGGGGGGGAAGGGAAGGGGGGGGGAGGAGAATGGGGGGCGGGGTTGCGGAAGACAAAGAGGTATGGATGGAGGCGTACCAGCTGTAGTCGAGGCCCGGGAGCAAGCCTATGTGAGCCCGCATACCATGCGCACATCCCACGACCCAGCACCGTAGCATGGCGCGACACAAACAGACCTGCGTTCAGCAGGTTCCCCCAAAATCCCGTGGCGCAGGCAGACCTCTCCCTTCGCTTCCCCCCCGACCTCACCTCCGGATTAGTCCTCTCCCCTTCCCTCCCATCCCCCCACTTCCCTCCCCCTTCCCATTCTTTCCGCTCCCCCATCGCCCCTCTTACCTCGCCATATGCCGCCACGCCACTCGCAACGGCCCGCGAGGCTAGTCTCGCGCGCCGAATGCGCTGCTCCTCGTCCTCTTGCGCGCGCGCGTGGCTCCGCGCCTCCCACTCCATCGCCTCCCTCACCGCGCGCTTCCGCCGCTCGTGCTCGTTCCGCCACTCCCACTGCGCCACGCGCAGCCGCTCCCGCCACTGGCGGTACTGCTCCCGGTCCAGCGCGTCTTGCGCCAGCAGGGATAGCAGTAGGCGCGCCTCATTGGGAAGCGCGGCGGTGGGGAAGGGGAAGGACGGGGATTGCAATGCGGCTATGGCGGCGTCTGCTGAGAGAGTCGTTTCTGCGGGGTCTGTTGGGCCTGAGGTCGAGTGGAGCGGGTGAAGCTTATACAGTAACGAGTCTTCCACTATGAAGTCATCCTCGGGAAAATCATCCTCGATAGAATCATCCGCGAGGTCATCATCCTCTATAAGATCATCCGATACAGGGTCGCCGATTACGGGCCTGTCGCATAACCCCGACATGGAGTCATCCGATATCGCAGCGTCATCGGCTGCAACGGCGTCGTCCGATAAACGATCATTCTCGACGGGGTCGATGGTAAGGGGGGCATCCGTTATTGGCCCATCCGTTACAAGCTCGTCTTCAGCTTTTCGCCTGAGGCTTTCTTCGTCCCTTTCCCTTTTAAAAGCAGCAAGCTCCAACCCCTCTTTTCCTTCTGCCGCCGCTCCCGTTTCACACAACACTGCCGCTCCCCCTTTCACCACCTCAGTACGCCCCTCGCCATCGCACCCCTCCACCCCCTCACTCTTCACCTCCCCCGCCTCTTCCCACGACCCATGATCGTCCCGCATTTCCTCGTCGACCTCCGCCTCATTCTCCGCCTTGCCCTTCCGATCGCTAACCGCGCATCTATCACCCGCGGCGTCTTCATCCGCTTCCCCGCTGAGCTCACCGCCCTCCGCCGTGCGGTCCGCGTTAGCATCCGCGCCAGCTGCATCGCCGGCGGAAGCAGCGGCTGCGGCGCTCGCGGGACCTTCGCTGTCGGCGGCGGCTTCCGCGGAAGACGAACCATTTTGCAAGGCGGCCGGCGCGCCTTGCGGCTCGGCTACTTTTGTCGACTCGAGCGCGAGCGCGAGTTCCGCGAAACTTGCGCCGCCGGCTTCGTTAACGCTATCAAACGCGCCGTTAGCATCAGAGGATTGCTTTGGTGGTAAGGACGGTTCTGAATGAACGGTTTCTGTATTAGGTAGGGAAGTAAAAGGTTTATAAGGGAGTGAGTCGGCGTTGTCAGTGGTTTCTGGTGGATCAGTGGTGCTAGGATGAGGAGACCCGTCCTCGAAATTAGGTCTCCCAGGAGAGGGTGAGCTTTCGGATGCCATTACTCTAATTACTGGTGGGAGGTTGGGGGCAGAGGTGAGGAATAATACAGGGAGAGGGGGTTGGAGACGAAAGCGTGTAAACAAGGGGGGAGAGTCCTAATCTGGCGGAGAATTAGGGGGGCGACATCCGACACCCCAAAGCGGGGTGTTCGGGTTCCAGTTCAGAGTGGCGGGTGCAGGTAGAGAGTCCGGGGGAGGAGGTGGAGGGAAGGAAACTGAGCTTTCGAATGTTCGAATTCTGTTCCCAAGGCGTGAGCTCTAGGAAACGGAATCAGGCTTATTCTGACCTCCCCTGAAAACATCGTTGACGCTCGAGATGCCCCTTTTAATTTCGAATCCACTGCGAACTTTGGGAATGTTATGCACCCGATAACCCGCGAATTGGCTAGGTTGGGGAATAATGTTATGCACGCGGATAAACCTCGACAGCGCGGTTGCATGCGGTGTTGGCCCTCGAGTTTCCGCGTGCAAGAATATAACCGCCCCGTGAACATGACGAGTTCCGCTGCTAGGGTTTCATCAAGCCGCTTGGGTGAGAACTTCCCTAGACAGAACTCAAGCTGTGGGGCTAAAGGCGAAATGCTTATTGTCCTCGTTATGCTCAAAATTGATACCTCCGTATAGTTAGTAAAGCATGAATTATGCACCATATTTTAGATTTACTCACTATTGAGAGATGTTAAATATAATAGTAGGCAAACGACTGTGGTTGGAAGCACAAAGCATATCACCTTTAGGCAGCAGACGCAGGAGGAAGTTGGGTCGACATCCTAATGCGTTTCAAGGATGGCTCCAGAGCACAACCATCAGCTTCCGTCATGTATCCATCCTCACTATATACGAAGGATTGCATCCATGGGTCCATGCCCACGTTGTATGCAGCTTCTTTGCTGTCACAGGCGCCTGCAGTGGCGGCAGAAGCCTCTCTCCAGCCTGGTGACTGCATCAGGTCTGATAGGAGCTCCTGCATCTGCATCATGTCATCAGAGACACCTTTACCTCCAGTCTTGCAATGTCCGCTCACACTCCTCTCCCTCGTCAATTCTCCCGCCTCCCCATCCACAAGCATCAGCGATGGCGTATCACCCCCCGCCCCACAAGCACTGTTCGTCCCAGCTTCCCCTGGTTGGTCCTCCACCAATCGCAGAAACTCGTCCCATGGAATAACAGGATCGTCCGACAGCAAGCCCTCACGGCCCCCAGGAGCAGAGTCAGCCATGGCGTCACTGGTGAGTCCCTGCAGCGCATTGACTGCTCCGTCGCAATGATCTACTGCAACCGCCTGCTTGCTCTCCAGGCATGGAGAGATCGTGGCAGACGGGGAATCGATTGCGGACGGAGATGACGGTGAGACCAGTGGAGGGACAGGGGCGGAGGGCAAAAAATGGCCTGCACGGGAGAAGGACGAGCGGGGAGACGGTGCATCCGAGGTGGAGGAGACAGCGGAAGCAGCAAGCAAGACCACCGCTGCCACAGCAGCAGCAGCATCAGCAGCATCAGCAGCATCAGCATCAGCAGCAGTAGACACAGCAACGCGGCAATCGGCCGCACTCGCCGCCTTCACCGCAGCATTTTGAGCGTTCTCCTCACGAACATTTCCTCCGCTCGAGCTGTCCTCCGTCCGAGACGCATCAAGAGGGCTCCCAGTAATAGCATCACCAGGCGGCGGACTCACGGGTGCCTCACTCCCACCGCCGCGGGCTCGAGGATTTTCGTTGGTCCCAGCAGCGGCGGCCCCGGGAGCGTCCCCGGCGGCGGCGGCGCCGCTTTTGGACATGGCGAGGACGACGTTTTCGACGAGGAGGTCCATGGTGAGCTCGTTCAGCGCCGCCAGCTGCTCTCGCCGCTGCTGCTCCTGCTCCTGCGACGCGGGTCGCGCCACCAGCAGCGACTGCAGATGCTGCAAAAGTTGCTCCGCCGGCGGCTGACGCGGCACAGGCTCGCCGCAGGTCCGCCCGCGGCTGCTCCGCCTGCGCGGGGAAGCGGAAAAGCCGAGGTCCCGCCCGGGGGAGCGAGGAGAGTTGGGCAGGGAGTCGCAGCAGCCGGAGGTTGGTATCTCCAGCGATATCGGCGCGCGCAGCCGCTTCTTGGAAGCAGGACGGGCCGAGGGGAGAGCTGCGCGGTTCGACGCGCCGTCGGAGGTGCCTCGTGCGAGACTTCGCCTGCCGCAGCTCGAGCTCTCACCGGCTTTTGCGGTGGCCGCTTCGGTTACCATCGCGGCGTTCGAATCGTCGTGTCGGCACGCGACCTGGGCGCTGCCGCGGTTCTCTCCGCTGCCAGCCTCCGCGGCGCTGCTGCATCGCCGCACCGCCGCGGCATTGCCTGGCGAGGTGGAGCCATCCGCGGAAGCAGCGTCCGAGCCGCGAAGCGCGAGGGACGTCACCGACGCGCCACCATCCAGCGACTTCGAAAGGCTAGAAGTGGTATTGGCCGGCGTGCGTCGCGCGGCATTGCCAGCAAAGACACTTGTCGCGCAGGTTCCATCGCCGCCGGTGGCGCGGGGGTGACGTGGCGACTTGCCGGGGCGAGGGCTCGGCGGCGGCATCATTGCGCTGCTGCGAGGCGAATCTCTGACCTTTCCGCTCGTGGTCCCCGACGCAGCAGCTGCGATGGCCGCCGCGAGCGCGGGGAATGCGGTGGCTGCAGGAATGAGCGCGGAATGTTGGGTTTCGGCGGTAGTAGCGGGGAATGTCTTCGCGTGAAGAGCAACTGCCCCGGTTGAAAGGCGGGCCGCGAAGGGCGACAGGATGGGTTCGTCTTGAGCGACTAATCGCTTGAGGCGGCGCAGGAGGCGCGTTGCGTGTTTATCCATTGTGTGCGCGATGGAGGCTGTGGGAGGGTAGAGAAGGATCTTGGAACTGAGGAGAAGGGCCTGACCTCGATGTGTGTTCCACGGATTTCAAGCAGAGAGAGCGCAGGCAAATGCCATTTTCACATCAGGGAGGCTCTCTTGCTGGGATGGATCCCATCCACGCAGGCAAAGGCCCTTTCACTTCCATTTGACGATGAAGTGCAAGTGCCACCCAGTTACCCAGCGGTGCCAGTGCAGGCCTCGCGGAGCGTCACTATTGGTCCAAGATGCTGTTGAGTCAGCTTTGTTTGCGGAGCGAACTCAAGCCGATTTCCCTCAAAAATAGTGGGTACACAACGTTTGTGGCTGCCCGCAGTCAGTGGTGGAGGTTACGAAACCCCAGCCCGGCAGCAGCTGCAGCACCCCTCCCATGACCCGTCGTGAAGACAGGAATCAAGCATCCCATTTTGATTGAACTAGGCATGGTATTGCCCGGTACCCTACGTTACAGCATGTTGAGATTCGGTAACTGAAGGTTCCCCCTCGTCCTCCCCCCAACTTCTCCTCATTCTGCCGGACCCCACCCCCCCCCCTCACTGAAGGTTCCCCCTCGTCCTCCCCCAACTTCTCCTCATTCTGCCGGACCCCCCCCCCCCCCTCACCGACACACACAAGCCATACCCATTCCGTCGGGCACTTCCCAAGCCACACCACACTGCCTGTCAGCGGGGTTGGCCCCTTGACTGACGCGCGGACCGTCCAAGAAATCCCTGACTGGCACAGCAACCACACCACAGTGCACAAACCAACTCGCAGCCTGACATTTGCCTTGACTGACAGCATGCAGAAAATGGCGCCAGCGCGTCAGCGCGTTGTGTGAGCCTGCTGCTGACTCAATATTTGTCGGAACGACCGACTTTCCTTGCATTCCGTAAGTGCTGCTTCTGCAGCATCTATACAGTCCTTTACACACTGTAGTGTACACAGCAACAATGCAGCGCGACAAAGGGCAGGTGGGTGGGTGTGTGTGTGGAGGGGAGGAAAGGAAGGAGCACTGTTTCGTAACGATTTCGTTCCTTTGGCAGCCATGCTGCACACACATCACAATTTTCAGCGCCCTGGGGATTCGTGGACTTTGTCCCCTTGCTAATTGACAAAGCCTGTCAAGGGATGCGGAACAGTCAACTTGTAGTACAGTACCCACCATGCCTTGTTGGGGCTGCAAGAAAGCTGGATTCCACTTTGGAAGAGCAGTCGCTGTTTTCGTGTACGATACACAAGACTGTACAAGATATCTCATCCTCGGCTCGCCAGGTGCGTTGACCTGAGCAGCGTTCTGTACAGTGTGGGCATAAGGGAAGCTGAGTATCAATTTGAACTTCTATACCCCTTCATGTTAGATGGCACAAAGACATAAATCACAATACTTCCCTTTCTAACTAATTACTCGCCAGCTATCCATTGCTTGAAGATGGATTGCATGCGATTGCGGTTGTCAGGGTTGCCAACGTTTACAGTGGGAATAATCTGCTTCGGCCGGCAATAGGTGACGAAGTCCTGTAGTTCTGTAAAGCTGCTGTGCTCACTGTAAGGCACACCTGCAGACGAAAGGGAAAGATGGGGCGGGACAGGATAGAAGGGTCCGCGGAGTGGGCACCATTAGAATGAATAGTGAGTGTGAACAGTGAACAGCGGGGCATGGCTGGACATAACCTGCCAGCAGGATGAAGGCCTATCAGCCTGGGTTATTGAAACGCAAATCATTACTGATGGAAGAACCGATAACAGTACCATAGAGAGACACGCTCCTGTAGTTTTGGGGCTGAATGTTGTGCAGTCCTGACGCCAAGCGCTGGGAAAAGGTCCAACCTGGCACAAATGATACTCCATACATCAATTAGGGTGCAATACGGCATTAAATATGGCTCAAAGCAGCAGAAGGGTTTAGAGTTTACGGCTGGCATGAGATAGTATGGTACAGAATGCAAAGCATGATATAGCATTGTATTGTGTATAAGAGCATGCAATGTTGGTTGGCAATCATTGAGTGGTATGGTATGGGATGGCACCTGTAGGTCGGAAGCCAATGACCCGTGTGAACCCTCTTTGGTTGGACAGATACTCATGCAAGCGCTGCACAACAGGGACAGTGGAAACCAAAGGACACATTCCACCAATTTGAAGTGGCGGGCCATTTTGACGCTACAAGGGCAAAGGAATGATGCCACCCACCTCACATCGGACTCTCTCACTCCGTTTCCTACAGTATGCAACCCTCTCCCCCCCCCCCCCCCCATCGTCCTCCCCTTCTTCCCCCTTCTCATGGACCACCCCAACAGTGCACCCTCACCTGAGCTCGCAGCTGCCCCAGCGGCAGCACGTGCAGCGGGGAGGAGGCGGCATCGCGGGTGAGGCGCGAGGAGAGCGCAGGCCACTGCAGGGCCAGCAGCACACGGTGGTGGCGCGCCACACAGAAGATGCTCGCCTGCCATGGGGTGCGGGTGCGGAAGTTGGATGCATTTTTACTGGGGGGGTTGGTTGCATGGCGGCGTGGTGTGGGGGAAATGGGGGAGGCGGGAAACGAGACGCGTACCGAGGAAGGTAACGGGAGGGGGCGGAAGAGACAAAAGAGAAGAAGGAAGGTTAGGAGAAGCGAGGCACAGAGGAGAAGAGGGTGGAAGGCAGGCATTAGAGGAGAGGGGCACCTGCAGCGCCTGGGCAATTGCGAGGAAGAGCCTCTCCTTGCCGATGCTGTACGCCCCCACCACAAACAGCACCCTGCCCCCTGCCTCCCGCTCTGCCTTGTCTGCTGCCACTGCCACGCCCACTGCATAGTCGATCACCTGCTGCTGCTGGGGGAAACTGCAAGCACGGACAGGCGGAATGGGCGAGAGGAAGAAGAGGGAGGGAGGAGACAAGCAGAGGACACAGGTACCACGGGCTTGCCGCACCAGAGAGGTCAGCTTAAGAATCCGGAAGCACGGTGCACGGTGCATGGTTACGGTGGCATACAGCACATTCGTGCCAGTTATTCACGGAAGCAAACCATCTGTGTTTAGTTTCGTGAGCGAGGTTTGAGGGGTCTCACGTGTAGCGCGGGTGGCAGTACGTGGTGTCGAGGTAGAGGCGGTCCACAGTGCCTGGCTGCAGGTGGCGGTGTGTGCGCATGGCGTGGCATGCACGGAAGTCACCAGTGTGCAGAATGGTGGACGAGAGCACGGCGCGCGAAGGGAGTGGGGTGGAGGCGGGAAGGAGTGCGTGCGAGGGGTGTGCTTGCCGGTGAGGAGCGGACAGGGGCATGTGGTGTGGTGTGGGGGGGAGTGCAGGCCTGGGAGCGAAAGCAAGAGGAGGAGAGGCACACGCAGCAGCAATTGCTTCATGCTGCTGCTGCTGATGCTGCTGCTGGTGGTATGTACACGCCTGTTGCTGCAGGTGCAGGGGTAGAGGCGGTGAGGAGAAGGAGCGTGGCAGCGGGGGAGGGCAGTTGGTGCGGATGAGGATGAGCGCGGAGCCAGGGCAGTGGTTGGCGGGGAGCAGGGTGACGGCATGGCCGTGCAGATAGGCAGTGGTGGAAAACGTGAGAGGGATCAAGAGACTGGCATCGCATGCTCCCTCGCCACATGCACATACACACGGCGACAGAAACACAAACGCACACTCACACACACACACACACGCACAAACACAAATGCGCGCATGCACAGTCCTCCCGCCAAACCACACACAAACACACACACACTCACACGGACCCGCGCATGCATCACATCCAGAAAACAGCAGAGAAACGTGTGGGATCCCATGAGCAACAAGGAGCATTCCTTTCCTCCCACAATGCACTCTCACCACCCAGACACACCCATCCGAACCCCCCACAACCCCCAATCCCCCCCCCATCCACCTCCCACCCCTCATGCCAACCAGATCTTTCCCCTGCCTGCCTGTCTGCCTGCCTGCCTGCCTGCCTCTCACCCAAACCAGCGCTACCATTTCAACCCCTCCACCCACTCAAGCAAGCGCACCTCTCGGGGACCCCCAGGCACATGTGCGCGAGGCGCGCGGTGACGGGCGTGCACACGATGGGGCCGGCCTGCCAGCGCTTGGAGAGGCCGCGGTAGTGGTCGCTGTGGAAGTGCGAGAGGAAGAAGACCGCCACGCCCGGTACGACGCCGTAGGAAAACGCGTCCACCGCAAAGGGCGTGCCTGGGGGGAGGGGGGTGGGGGGAAGAGGGAAGGGGGGAAGAGAAAGGGGGGGGGAACGAGGGGGGGAGGGAAGGAAAGAGAGAGGAGAGAAACGAGCAGGGAAGTTGAGGGGATGCCTTGGAAGGTGAGTAAATGGGACCAAGGGAATGATGGCAATGATGGCAATGATGGCAATGATGGCAATGATGGCAATGATGGCAATGATGGCAATGATGGCAATGATGGCAATGATGGCAATGATGGCAATGAGGGCAATGATGGATATGACGGACATGATGGCAAGTACCAGGAATCTTCTTGTAGAAGGGGCACTGCCGTGGGGCTTGCTGCGACCAGTGCGAAGAAGGGCGAGAGATCGAGGCGTCAGCAGTGGGTGCTGCAGAGTTCGACGCACTACTGCGCTTCTCTGCATCCCCTTCCTCTCCTGCCTCGCCTTCCCCCCCCCCCGCTCCCCTCGTCCTCTTGCCCGCCCCGTCACTCCCCCCATGACTCTCCCTCTCGCGCTGCTGCTCCTCCCCCCACTCCCCCCAACCTCTCCCCTTTCCCCGCCCCGTCCTCCCCTTCCCGCCGCCCTTCGCACCCTCCTCCACCACCATTGGGCCCCCTCCACCAAAGAAGGCGGAAATGCCACGCTGCCGCAACACACGGCTGCTCCCCCCACTCTCCACACTCACCGCCTTCCCACTCGCCTTCCCTCGCCCTCCCCCCTCACTCCCACCTGCCCTTCCTCCAATCCCTGCACTGGTCTCAGCCCCCCCTCCTCCCGACCCCTCACTAGTACTACCCACCCTACTCCACCATCGAGTGAGCCTAGCCGGCATAGCAGCAGCGCGCACAGAGCACGACGCGCTGAGAGCGGCTGCAGAGGTGGCAGGCCAGTCGGAATACCCCAGCAGACCCAGCTCACATGCTGCATGCTCCTCCTCTGTTGCATCCCCTTTGGTATTTCCCTCCTCCCCCTCCTCCCCCTCCTCCCCCTCCTCCCCCTCCTCCCCACCATCCTCCTCGCCCTCCCACTGCTCACCATCATTGTACCTCTCTGCCTCCTCCGCTGCCTCCTCTCCTCCTCCACGCTCTTCCTTCTCCCCTCCGTCATCAAGCCAACCCCAGCCATCCCCATCTCTCTCCCCCCTCACCCCCTCACGCCACTCCACCTCCCCCTCTCCCCTCAAACCCACTATACCCTCTCCCTCCTCCGCCCCAACTTCTTCCCCCTTTCCCCCCAACATCCCGCTTTCCCCACATCCAAGATTCCACCCCTCCTGTCCCCAAGACACCGGCGTATCATCACCTCGCGTTACCCCATCTCCCCATGCGCCCCCCCTAGTTCTCGTCCCCCGCCCCTCATGCGCACCGCTCTCACAGCATCCATCGTGCGCCGCCCGTTCTTCTGTCTCCCCTCCCGCCCCACCGAGCATGATGCTCTTCGCCTCCACGCACTCGGTCTTTAAAGGGGTTATCTCCAAAAGCTTCGCCTTAACGCGCCTCGTTGTCAGATCTATTTCCGCTGACTCGTCCTCCTCCTCCCGCCACCCGCGCACCGTGCCTTCCCGATTGCCATCCGCGCAAAGCTCCCCCGACGACTCCATCCCCGCTTCCGCGCTCCTGCAACTCCCCCTCGCGCAATCTGAATCCTTCCGCGCGCCCTTGTCCGGTTCCGCGCATTCTCCGCCCAAATTCCTCCCCGGAAGATCTTTCTTGGTCGTCTCGCCGGGAAAGGCAAAGACTTGAACGTTACCTTCCGCCCTTCGACTTCCGCTTTCCGCATAGCCCAGCGCAAGGCAGCGATCCGCGCGGGGTTGCGCCGCGGGGGAAGGCAACGGGCGGAAGAAGTGCAGGAGGGAACGGTTGCGCAGTGAAGTGCCGGGAGAAGGCTCAACGCGCGGCGAGGCATTGCCGCGCTGCTGCTGCCCGGCAAAGCGGGAAGGGTAGGGAGCCATGCATGTACGACGTCACGAGACCCGATTAGAGCCAAACGGCTCACAGCGAGCTGCTTAGGAGCGGGCGACAGAAGAACAGCGGATATGCTCGGTTTCACAGTCGATGCCCCGTGGATTGTACGACGCCAACCGTGTTACCATGCTGGCCGGATGAGCAGCAAAGTGACTCCCTCGACGTGCCTTGATTCCGTACCATCCACACCGTTCTGAAAAATAAAAGAGGAATCTATGGCCTTCCTATCCAAGATCCAGCAGAGCATGTGCAAGAGGGTTAGCAGGCATGCGAGGCGGCTGCTAAAGGTGCGCATTAGTGGTACGCCTGTGCCTAGAAGGCGTCACACTGACTCGAAACTCGTTCCATGGAGGGAGGGGAAGCTGGTAAATTGCTGCTGCTTTGCTGCTGACTCGTACGCGTTACATGCTGTACCTCAAACTTGGACATGCGTTCAGAAAATACAATAAGTAGGAAAGTGGTAAACATTTCCAAATCATGCCTCCAGCAAATACACGCACATTTCCCGAAGCCTCCATGTCCGCGTGGAAACCAACCAGCCCAAAGGGAGTTCCGGCTGGTCAATCAGCTCTCGCCAGGTGGACAGGAACTTGTGGCCCTCACCCTCCAATTTCCTTCGTCACACCACTCTGCATTGCGGAGTCCGCAACAAGCAAGCCCCGTTTCCCCCTCCTCCGCTCTCCGCGCAACGCGACATCCCCCCCAGATCATTTGAGGCTCCCCGCGCTCCCCCGCTTAGGCAGCTCTTTGATTCACCACCTCGCTCCGCTACTCTTTCATTCATCGGGCATCTCCTTGTCAGCAATTTAGTCTCCGCTCCATCTATCCCTGGCTGGTTGCTCGTCCGCCGCCTCGTCGCCAGTCGCCATGGCTGCTCAGCTCACGCGGTGCGTCGTGCCCGCAGCGTCTACCCGCATGGGCTCCGCAAAGGCCGTCGCCGCAGTCGCCGCTGCCCAAGCGCACGCGGGCCTTTCCGCCGTCTGGCACGCGTCCCCCGCATCCGCGCGCATGCTTCCGCCCTCCGCATCGGCGTCTTCCGCGCTATCCTCGATTTCCCCCGCCACCTCCTCCTCCCCCTCCCCTCCTCTTTCCTCCGCAATCACCCTCTCCCCTTCCGCCTCCGCATTCCGCCGCGCCGCGCTGCAACCACTGAAAGCCTCAGCGGGCCGGCCAACCGAGACCAGCCACGTGGCGTTGCGCGCGGAGATGCAGAGCATGGAGGAGCTCCCGGAGAATCTGCAGAAGATCGTGCGGAGCTTCCAGATGGTGCCCGACCCGCGAGCGCGGTACCAGCAGCTGCTGTACTACGCCGCGAAGCTCAAGCCGCTGGCTAAGCAGTTCCAGACACCCGAAAACAAGGTCAAGGGATGCGTCTCACAGGTGCGTGCGTGCGAGGGTGGTTGCGTGGATGGGTGGGTGGATGCGCCACTGCGAGGCGCCGCTGCTGACGTGGCCCTCCATTTATGTTCAGCGGCGCCTTTCAGAGCACCTGCTGCTGCCAGCCTTACTTTTCCGAGTTCCCCCTCGCCCCCGACCATTTACCTTCTACTCGTTTCCCCTTCCCCCCTCCCCCCCTCCCCCCCCCCCCCCCCCCCCCCTCTCTCTCCCGCTCCCCTTCCGTTCCCCCTCCTCTCCCCATCCCCCATCCCTCCTCTGCCGCTACTCGTTCCTCCTATCGCGCGCGTCGGCGCAGGTGTGGGTGCTGCCGACGCTGTCGGACGACGGGCGCGTGCACTTCCAGGCGGAGAGCGACTCGCAGCTCACCAAGGGGCTCGCGGCGCTGCTCGTCGAGGGGCTCAGCGGCGCCACGCCGCAGCAGGTGGGCTCGGGGGAGACTTCTGAGTCGACTCAAAAGTCGCTCGGGGGAGTGCGATCAGGGGGAAATCAACGGGAGGGGAGGGGGTTTGAGGGGGTGTGGGGTGGGGGGGGGATGGGATCATAGAGGGAGCGGGGGGGTGGGACACAGAGGGGGAAGGTGGGGTGATTGGCGGAACAGGGAGGGAGATATTTTGTGGTCGAATCCCGTGGCCGAACCAAGGCGCTGGGATGGTGAATGGGATATGCGTACGGTGGAATTCGATACAGACTCAGAGTCACATCGCGCCAACGAACACTCACACAAGCTGCATTCTTCATGCATCTCTCTCCCATCCCTCCCGCATCCCCTCCCCCACACCACCCCCCCCCGGCCGTTAGATCGTGGCGTTAAAGCCGGACTTCATTCAGATGCTGGGGCTGAAGCAGAGCCTCACGCCGTCGCGCAACAATGGCTTCCTCAACATGCTGCTGCTCATGCAGCGCCGCACCCTGCAGCTCTACGCCGAGCGCGAGTCCGCCAACGCCGCCGCCACCTCCGCCTCCCCCTCGGCTGCCGACCCTCCTGCGGAGGCCGCTGGCAATGGCGCCGCGTCGGTTCCCGCTGCGGCGGCTGCAATGGCGGCAGCAGCAGGCACAGCGGCTGGTGCTGCTGCTGCTGGGGGTAACGGGGCAAGTGCAGCCGGGGGAGAGGGTGGGGAAGGGGCGGGGGGGGAAGCGGAGGCGCCGATTGATCCCCAGCGGCCGGTGTTCTCCTCGATGACTGCCAAGGTGCGGTGGGTGCGACGCATGGGCTTGCTGCATGGGCGTGGCGCATTGGGAGTAGAACTACAGTGGGCAATGGCAAAAAGCAAGTGGGGGGTGGATGTGGGGTTGAGTTGAGTTGGCTGTGATGGTTGAGCTGCGGCACGGGCTGGTCAGTAGATTGCACGCAAGAGACTGACGTGCACTGCATCTCTCTGTGCCGGTGCTGTGGCTGTGGCCGTGTGTGGCATGCTGGCATGTGGCGGGTGTGTGCTTGGCGTGTGCTTGGCGTGTGCTTGGTGTGTGCTTGGCGTGTGCTTGGCGTGTGCGTGGCATGTGCTTGGCGTGTGCTTGGCGTGTGCTTGGCGTGTGCTTGGCGTGTGCCTGGCGTGTGCGTGGCGTGTGCTTGGCGTGTGTGGGTGCAGATAAGCAAGGCGCTGACGCCCACAGCGTTGGAGGTGGAGGACGTGTCTCACCAGCATGCAGGCCACTCGGGGAATCCCTCGGGCAACGGAGAGACGCACTTCAAGTCAGTACTCAACACACCTCTCCCTCCCCCCACCACCTTATATCACTTCTTTCTCTGGATCATGTCCTTCCTCCAAAACCACCACCACCACCACCACCACCACCACCCTTCCTCCCCCCCCCACCCCCATCATCCCCTTCTTTCTGTCAATGCTCCCAGTGTTTTTCCCTCCCTAATTGCCGCCCCTTTCTTTCTCTCACCCTGCTCTCACTGCCTAGTGGCTTGCTTCTATCCAACATTCTTCCCACTCACTCTTCCCACAAAAATCTAACACCCGTCCTCCCATCCCTCCCGCAACCCTTCCTGCACCCCTTCAGTGTTCGGGTGGTGTCGGCGGAGTTTGAGGGGGTGCCGACCATTCGGCGGCACCGCCTCATCTACGGCCTCCTGGAGGAGGAGTTCAAGCAGGGCCTGCACGCGCTTTCCCTCGTCACCAGAACGCCCGCCGAGGAGGAGCGGCTCTCTGTGCGCTCCTGAGCGATACCAGCTCCTGGTTACAAGTATGAATTTGATTGATGCTGCTGCTGGTACAAGTATGCACCAGGTCCAGCAGTCATAACTTTACGTCTCCATTAAATGTTGTGGGCTTACCAATATAGATCCAGCTTTATGTGTGCTGTGCTGTTCAGTCGCATCTTGCATGTCGACGCCTTATATAGATCCAGAGCCTAGAGGCTGCACTGCCTCCTACAGCAGTCCCTGTTATCCAACCGGTGTTTGAAGTTGAGGCTGCACTGCACTCGTTATCCTGGAAATTCCCCACTCGTTATCTCTTTCCAAGACAAGGTTAGGAATCACTCAGGTCAGGACATGCTGATATTGCCTTCAACTTTCACAATGAGACCGCTGCAATATTTCTATGACCTGGGATCAGAGCATCAGAATCAGCCTGGATCAGGAGAATGCAGCTCCTAAAAAACTATGCTTCATTTTGGTTACAAGCGAATCTGGTGATCACGTTTCACTATGCTTCATTTTGGTTACAAGCGAATCTGGTGGAGATTTGTCCCTAAAAAAACGCCGTTAGGCTGACTATCCTAAAACTTTGCTGTAAGGAAGCAGAGGATACTTTCTTGGCAATCATGTGCTTCAGCTCGATTAAAAGGACAAGCAAGCACCCTACAACTCCAGCAAGCCCAGCACCCTCCAGAGGCCCAGCATCCTTCCACTTGACAGCAGCACAGCCAGCCTCGCCTCGATCACCTGGAGCACGTGAGTCGCATGACCCGTGTCTGCCACCTCCCCTCCATGCCCAAAGCACCTCACGGCAACGGCATCCTTGTCCGTGCAGGGCCACCCCCAGCAGCAGCTTAAGCAGCCTTCTCCATCTTGAGCGACCCAGCCGCCTGCCCGCGCAGCCGCCCGGTACGCCTGGCGGCAATGAGACCGACCTTCTGCCCGGCGGGCGCGTCGCGGCGCACGGTGGAGGCGTGGCCAATGTGCTGGTGGTTACCACCACCGTGGGGATGCTCCACGGGGTTCATGGCCACACCACGCACCTTGGGCCACGAGTTGCGCTTCACGCGGTACTTGTGGAATGCGTTACCCGCCTTCAGCATCGGCTTCTCCGTGCGCCCGCCGCCCGCCACCTGCCCCACCATGCCACGGCACGAGGACGGGATAACCTTCTTGGAGCCGGACGGGAGCTTCACGCGCGTGGTGCCGTTGTCGGGGTTGTGCGACACGATGATGGCGTAGTCACCCGACGCGCGCGCGATGGCGCCGCGGTCGCCGACGTGCTGCTCGAGGTTGCAGCAGACGGTTCCCTCGGGCATGGCGCGCACGGGCAGCACGTTGCCGATGCTGAGCGTGGCCTTCTTGCCGCAGTACACGAACTGTCCCGTGTACATGCCCTCGGCAGCAACCATCAGCTCCTTCTGGTGCTTGAAACGGAACGGGTGGCGGAACTGCACCTGTAGCGGGGATAGCGGGAGGAGGGGGGGTGGTGCGGGAGACGGGGGAGAGGTACTGTTGTGGAGAAAAGGAGGTGATTTTTGAGTCGACTCATAAGGAGATCATAGGATTACTTACCAGGGGGGTGAACCCTCTGGCCGCTATGGGTGATCGCATGGTTTCTTCCTGCTGCAAAACGGCCACTCAGATCCCACGGACACTTCGCATCTCAGCCGCCCCTCTGCCCCACCGATCCAAACCCATGTGATCTCCGATGCCCGCATTGCCCACCCTCTCGCCTCTGGTGCCAAATACCCACTTTTAAAGACCTCTGAGGCAATGCACCCCTCTCTTCTCAGAGAGATCGATGCGCACCTGACGGCAGCGGCTCCAGCGCACGTGCATCCACTGCCACGCCACCTCACCTGCCGCCGCCACCTCATCTGCCCCCGCCACCTCACCTGCCCCCACCACCTCATCATCAGCTGCACTGTGCATAGACCCTAGCCATGTGGGACCAGGCCCTAATTTCACCGCATCCCCTCCATATGATCACACTAGCCATTGCAGGCCGCACCGTGTATGCCTTCGCTAGCTATCACCGCTGCTCGTGCTCCACCTGATGCGCCGCCGCCTCAACCCTAAGCACACCGCCCCCTCTCCCGCTAAGAGTCTACGTCCCATGTAGCATGCCTCTCCCTCTGATACTCCGCAATAACCCCCCCATATGTCCCCTTCACTGCCGAGCCCACGCCTGACCTAATCTACCAGGAGGCCAGGTTTTCCCTCAGGTAACAGGCTAACGAGCAGAAACGTCTCTGTAATGGTGAGTGATACGCGCGGTGGTAGATAACCAGCTGTATGGCGGGTACCGGCAGGGCAGCAGCACGTACCCTAGCGAGGGGAGCACCGCGGCCCGAGTCGTGGAGAATCTCGGTGACAACGCCCTTGATGTAGCCGTTGCGCTCCGAGTAGTCCAGCGATCGGAACCGCGCCGCACCCTTGCGCTTGTGCGTGTGCGACACGAAGATGGATCCCGCACCCTTACGCTGCGCGCGAATCACGCGACCCATGGCGACTGGCGAAGGGGAATGGGGAAAGTCAGACGGAGGATATGAGGAAGAGAAAAGCCCGCAGCATGGAAATGGTTCCACTGAAGCATCAACGGGGCTAGAATTCCTCGATATAGACTCCGCTATGCGTCCAAGGCTACCCTATCAGCGCCTATACGCGACATCGCACCCTGTGCTCTACTTCCAATGCCTGCGGTCCCAGCCCTCTATCTGTCTGAACAATTCTCCCGTGACAACATTCAAGCTCTAGCGAACGCGAAGGGGCGGACTCGGATATGGCACGCAAGTGATCAAGCGGCTCCGCATCAGCGAACTCGACTAGTCAAACCCTATGTCGGAAAAATCCGCCGGCTCGATTTGCTCCGACACCGTAAGGCAAACGCCACCTCTGAGGACACCTGGCGCCAGAAATACGCGGCTTCCCTGAGCGGCGGCAAGCTGTGCGGTAACGACATGGCGGACATAGTAGGCCTACCTGCCTCCACGAAATGCTCGCTCACCTTAGTATCTTCGAGCGGAATAGTAGAGCCAGAAAAGAAGCTCCGACGAGCGGAGAAATAAGAACCGGTCCTCTACCCTCGTCGTATAGTATCTGTCCTGTTCCTCGTCCTAGGATGAATTACCCCTGGAGACCTGGGAGACAGACCAGACCAAGAGGACTCGGGCGAGGCCCCAAGGTTGGTTTTCATGGCACCTCCTTTCCGCCCCGCCTGTCTCCCTCCCCTCATTCCCCCTCGCATCACACCTCGCTCCGCATGCCTCCCCATATGCCCGCGCCATCGGAAAATTGATTGGCTGGGGGAGAAGCCCAGCCTACGGCGAGCTCGCAACAGGCGCGGTGGGCCCTCCCGGAAGCTCTGCGATCAGGGGGGTGTTGAGGGGGTCGTCTGGAAACGAGGGTGGATTACCACCAGCTACGGGGCGGTGTAGTAAAGTGAAGGGCTAAAAGGGCAGGTTCAAAGTAGAGGTGATTCATTTTTTAATTACATTATTGTATGCGAGTGCCTATCATTACATTATTGTATGCTACTGCTTATCAATGGCTACGGGTATCCGTATGGATATTTTGCCATACCATTATACATGTGCGTGTTGATTCCGTAAATAATACGCTCAAAGCACTCTTCAAGCCGGAAAAGCCTTTGCGCTTGCGCTTGCAATGGCTACATTTAATGGGTACCGGAATGATTAAAAAATCTAATATCGTCACTATAATAAAGTATATTGCGATAGAAATTGATTGCCATGACAAATTGTGGAAGTTGAGCTTACACATAGAGTGTGCATGTGGTAATGTCAGTAAATGTACGAAGCAGCTTCTAAGTTGGAACAGGAGGCGTCTATCTTGAGGTTTGATGGATCTTTAGTGTTTGCCGAACCGACAACGGAATCGCGAAAATGGAAGTTCCCGCCTATTATGCTGATTGGTTTGGTCACCAACAGCCTTCAAATCAGCCTCGTGCGAGGGCCTTGAGAGCACCGACTGGAACCAATAGGGGGGAAAACCCAGACTGAGCTGGCGCGTGCCACGTCTGCAACTTTCCACACATCCCGCCTTTTCTGGCGCGACCACGGCACTGGCTCGGTTAACATTTCCAGGTTTGGGCCGAAGCACTGAGGGCACAGCAGCCCACAGATTTGATGCAGAACTTGTTCTTGTATCAACTTCGGGCAGCCAATGATTTTCCTCCCTCAAGAACCCGAACGGGGGTGGGAGGGTGCAGCTTAGTACACGGTCTGGATGAGAGCACCGCATCAACGCAGCTGATGTGGGAGAATCCCCAATCGCGAATCTCTGACACGAAATGAGCTGACATGAGGCAGGAACCTAACCTCAAATCTCAAGGCTAGGCGCCAAGCCATGGCTGGTTTGGAAAAGCATTCCACCATAGTGGTGGGTGGTTTGTGCAAGGTGAGCAACAGCAGATGTGTCAACGAAGGAAAGGCGGGACGTCTCATTTCTGGTCCGCCCTGCTTCAGTTTTCAGCAACGCTAGGTTGCCTGCAGCGGGTCTGACTACGCTAGTGCCAGACCCCAGCTTCAACCTTTCTGTCCAGTGAGCCTGGCGGGGGAGCAGTAATCACAGACACTACAGGCTGCATTGTCAAGGTGCGGGATACGCGCACGTCACACGACGGCCGAAAACGTGTCTTCCTTCTAGAGGCGACCCAGACGGAGCGGACCTCTACAAGCATGCACCGATCGCTGTGATGGGTAAGCTAAACGCTTGTTTTTGCGTGAACAAACCTTAAGATAGGCATACTGATGTAACATAACCAAGTATGACGTGTAGGCCCTTAACTGGGTCTACATGCTGACATGAGTATCCGAATGAAGCACGCCTGTTTAACATCGAGGAACCTGTGCTCGTTCAAGTACTCCCTTCTGTTCGCGCCTCAACATGCCCCATTGTCCCCCTTGGCGGCCTGCCGATGTGACGGTTCTACTATTGACGATGGCCAGGATGTATGCGCACTCAGATCTGATCGAGCGTTCCATTCACCTTGCTATCCCTGCCTCGCTTCCAGTTGTTCACCGCGCTGTCTCCTCGTTTTCTCCTTTTCAGATCTCAGCGGCGTGTGCCGTGTCCAGAAGCTGACGTCTTCGTCTCCGCTTCCCCTGCTTCGATCACCTTCACTGCGCCGGGCTGTATCTTCTAAGAGAGAACGCACCGATCGTCGCGCGATGTGCAACCTCTCGCTCAACATGAAACTCGCCATCGCTGTTATCGCGCTCCTGCCCTTCGTGCTCGCCGTCCGAGCAGACGAGGTCCATCTGTCGAATCGCGCTATCACGTATCAGATCTGGCCCGGAGGCGGCGACGCGTTTAATCCCGGAGGTGGCGGAAGCACAGGAGGGGGCGGAAGCACGGGGGGGAGCGGAAGCACGGGGGGGAGCGGAAGCACTGGGGGGAGCGGAAGCACAGGCGGAAGCGGCAGCGGAGCTCCTACGGCTGGCAGCGGTGGAACTGGGGGAGATGGAAACCTCTTCCCTTCCCCTCAGTCCCCTCCTAGCGACGGGTCCCCCAGCAAACCTCCCTCGTCCTCATCGCCTCCTTCCCCCAGCAGTCCGTCCAAGTCCTCGACTCCGCCTGTGCAGTCGTCTCCCCCGGCCGACCCTCCGCCTACCTCGTCCTCTTCCTCCCCTCCGGTGAACCGATTTAAGACGGGCCCGCCGTTTGCACCACCCAAGTCTCCAGATTTCCAGGCTCCCCAGTCACCGCCGTGGCAGTCGCCACCTGTTGAATCCCCGCCGATTCCACAGTCCCCGCCCAAACAGTCCCCGCCTAAGCAATCCCCTCCCAAGCAGTCACCGCCGAAGTCTCCGCCCATTGATTCATCGCCTCCTCCCAATGATCCATCCCCTCCCAGGTCTTCCCCTCCTAAATCTTCCCCTCCCAAGTCTTCCCCTCCCAAGTCTTCCCCTCCCAAGTCTTCCCCACCCTGGACGTTTCCTCCTGTCTCGCCTCCGTTTTTTCCTTCACCCGCCATGTCGCCACCCTGGGCCAGCCCCCCCATTAAGTTCACCAACTCGTCTCCACCCTCTCACCCTCCACCTTCTCTCTTCCCGGCCCCGTTTCCGCCGTCCTCGAAACGTTCTCCTCCCCCTAAGGCCGAGTCCCCTCCTCCTTCCCCCCCCGACGCACCCCCTCCCGACGCACCTCCTCCCGACGCACCCCCTCCCGACGCACCCCCTCCCGAAAGTCCGCCTCCCCCCCATAGCCCTCCGCCGCCAAGGCCCCCTTCCAGGCCCCCTCCTGCCCCGCCGACCCCTTCCCCACCTCCGCCAGTCCCTCCCCCTACACCTGCGCCAGCGCCCGCGCCCGCGCCCGAGCAACTCGTCGATGCCCCAGCGCCAGAACCCGCGGCTCCGCCTCCGCTTTTCTTTCCACCCCCTGTGCCCCTTAGCCCGCCTCCCCGTCCTCCGCTGCAGCCACCGCCAATGCCGCCAAGCGCCCCTTCTCTGCCGCTCTCTCCTGGCTCCCTATTCCCTAACTCTTCGCCCTCGCCTCCAGCTCTCTTCCCCCCTTCCCCGAAACCCCCTCCACCGCCTCCAGCGCAGCCCCCGTCTCCCCCACCTTTTGGGCCCTCTCCCCCACCCCCTCCTGCCCCTCCCCCACCGCCGCCTATCATCATTCTGCCTTCTGACGACTCGTCAACAACGGAGGTCAGCGGTGGAGGAATGAGCAGTGGTGCCCTGGCAGGAACCATCATTGGAGTGGTGCTGGGTGTGCCTCTGCTGGCTGGAGGAGTGTGGATGGGAGTGCAATGGATGCAAACTAAGCATGCAGCAGCGGCAGGGGTCAAAACTGCTGCACCAGGGCCAGGATAGACAGCTTACTGTTTTGAGGGGCAGCTGAAGGGAAGGTTTGTTAGTGGACTGTAGCATTCCTCGCGGGCTCTTTCAAGGTCTCGTGTTCCAGTAAGCTATTACCAGAGCGGAACGAATAATATTTATGTCGAATTCATATCCATGATGTTGAGAACAATTTTCTTGTCTGTTACCTTGAGCTTGTTTAACTCGTGTACTGCAACAATTGTGAAAGCTTGCTTAGTGTCAACTGATACATAAATTCGTATATAGAAGATATAGGCTAGATAGGTGTGTGTTCTTAGAGGGTACATCTCCAACCCTACATCTCCTGTGTTCTCACTTGTTTCTAGTCATTCTCGTATTCTAACATGGTATCATTGTAGGTTAGGTCGGCCCACCCGCTGTCAACTTATACATATTATCTATGTAGAAGTTATAGGCTAGACTGAGGTATGCTTCTAGTGAGTACAACCAACTAGTATTTGTTCTAGGTTTCCACCTCTAGTAATCATTCGTTTCTACGTTCACATGGTATCACGCTTAGGTTAGGATCCCCCCGCCTACCGCTTCCGCCCGTCGCGCCTCCTATGCCCCGTCGCGCCCCCTAGGCCCCGTCGCGCCCCCCCTGGGCCCCGTCGCGCTCGTTAGGCCCCGTCGCGCCCCCCCTGGGCCCCGTCGTGCCCGCTGGGCCCCGTCGCGCCTCCTAGGCCCCGTCGCGCTCCCCCTGGGCCCCGTCGCGCCCACTGGGTCCCGTCGCGACCCCTAGGCCCTAACGCGCCCCCGCTGGGCCCCGTTGCGCCTCCTAGGCCCCGTCGCGCCCCCCATGGGCCCCGTCGAGCCCGCTGAGCCCCGTCGTGCCTCCTAGGCATCGTCGCGCCTCCTAAGCCCCGTCGCGTCCCCCCTCTCTGGGCCCCGTCGCGCCCGTTCGGCCCCGTCGCGCCCCTCCTAGGCCCCGTCGTGCCCGCTGGGCCCCTTCGCGCTTCCTAGGCCCCGTCGCGCCTGCTAGGCCCCGTCGCGCCCCCCCTGGGCCCCGTCGCGCCCGTTAGGCCCCGTCGCGGCCCCCCTGGGCCCCGTCGTGCCCGCTGGTCCCCGTCGCGCCTCCGCGGCCCCGTCGCGCCCCCCCTGGGCCCCGTCGTGCCCGCTGGGCCCCGTCGCGCCCCTTAGGCCCCGTCGCGCCCGCTGGCCCCTGTCGCGCCTGCTGTTAGCGCTCGCCCGCCTGGCCTCCTCCTAGTGCCGCTCGGCCTCCTCCTAGTGCCGCCCGGCCTCCTCCTAGTGCCGCCCGGCCTCCTCCTAGTGCCGCCCGGCCCCTTCCTAGCGCCGCCCGGCCTCTCCTCAGCGCTGCCCGGCCCTCCTCGTGCCCGACCGGCCCCAGCAGCACCAGCCTGGCCCCTCCAGCACCAGCCCGGCCCTAGAGCACCTGCCCGCCCTCCCCTGCTCGGCCTGCCGTGTCCTCTCGGGCCCTGTGTCTTCTGCTTGCCTGCGCTGGGACGCCTAGCTGCTGCCCTACTGGAGAGTGCTGCCGCCGTGTCCCCGCGCCGCTGTGCTCCTGTGCTGCTGAGGAGCTGTGCTGCTGTGCCGCTGTGTCGCTGAGGAGCTGTGCCGCTGACCCTGCACGATGGCTGACTTTGTGCTCCGCCTGGACGCTGAGGGCCACGCGGTTGACTTCGCCGCCTGGCTCTCCGATCTTCGCCGCCAGCTTACAGGTCAGCGCCAGGATGGCCACTCTCTGGTTGTCCATGCTGATGGCTTGCTCCCCGTCCCTG